TCGGGACGTTTGGTCTTTGTTGTACTGGAGAATTCATCAAGATATTCAAATATCAGGGCGCAGTGTTAGGAGCTGTTGTTGAACAGATGCTCCGTTGGCCAATCGCAGGCTCATGGATTTTGGGTTCGGCTCGGTTATCAGAAAAAGAAAAAGCGACGAGCACGGCGCAAAGAAGTGGTTTTTTTGGTAGAATTATATTCAATCGCGCCGACTTTGAACAAATTCGTTGTTGTTGAATGAACTGTTTGGCTGGCAGCCACAGTCAGGTCACTCAAAATTCAGAACCCCTGAGCAAACGCGAAATAAGGTAGCTTGCGGCGGGTTCTGGCAAGGGTTCTAGATCAAGGAGTGGCCTCAGCCTTTTGCGTGGGATGGGATGGGGGATATGAATGGAGGTGGGTTGGACTAAAGAACTGAGAAAGGAATTGGCCAAGGTACAGACAGTACTAGTGTGAAACAAATGAAGAAGAAAAAATAAGGTATTCAAAGAATAGGTAGTGAAGTAAAAGAATTAAACAGAATCGGACAATAGGAAAAGCCTGTATATTTCTGAACGGGAAAAAGGTTGAAGGGAAAGTGACTTGACTTGAGAGAGGCTAGAAACTGAGAATGAATAACGTGCTAAGAGAGTCAAAAAAGGATGGACTAACGATGTGTAGTAAGATCGAATCCAATACCAATAGGTACCAATACCAAACGGTCCCAGGTTTCGGGAGTTCTAATTCTAGGGCTGTCTGCTACCGACAGGTAATTTGGCAAAAGGGATCCAAAACCTAACATATCTGCTACACAGATACATAATATATGGATATCTTTTGGGTTATAGACAATCGTTATTTGCTTTTGAAGTTCCAGGGTCTAGTCTCCCAATCTCAATTCCATCTCCACTACTGTACGGTATGTGCTCCAAGTTAATGAGTGTGGATCGACGAGAAGGTCAAGTTTGATAAGACATACAGGGCCATGAAGAAACTGTTTCCCCTAGCTGCAGGCAGTCTTGCACACCACCTAACATTAATGAGACGACATTATTTATCCTCAAGTACAGAGTAATAGATATACCACGGCTAATCTTCAGATGAAACGAAGAATGATAACGCGCCCGGTCCTCAAACCGGCTCGTGTCAGTCTTGTCATTAGTACGATATCCACTCATGATGGCCTGTATACATACATGCTCCCCTCGGTACTAAAGTTCATTCATCCAATCTGCAGGGTTCGCATCTTTCATTCCCGAGATTTGACTTTTGGACAAATCATCAGCATGAATAAATTGTGCATATGTAGTTGAATGATGGGTTACCCCTGCTTTATGCTGTGCCTGTGCGATGCACGAATTCTACCGCCACCAACCTTGCATCAAAGGAATGACATGTCTCACGATAGCTTCGAAGGGGTTGCCAAACCGCCGGTTTTGCGATAGTACTGCACGTACTGTATGTACGGACATAAACGAACGCTTATTCCCGATGATCACCTTTACAACCGCATCAACATCTCTGCAAGTGATAACTGAATGTATCCTAACATCGAATTGACTCTCTCAAATACCTGAACCAGACATTTCTTTATTCCAATGCACCTACTACACATGGCAGCTGGAATTTAAACCTCCCGCTCTGAGACACCTCGCGCGATTATAATCCGCAAGAATGCTTTACTCCATCCCTGCGTCAACCCTTCATCCACCTAAATTCTTTCACCATGTGCCACCGTTGCTCTGATAATGCATGGCTTCATCGATGAGGTGCAATGCGCTGTTGATCGTGTGCCACCACATCTGTCCAGCACATACAATATCAACCAAATCGGGACGAACTATACCTCACACAGAGAGCTGAACATCTCTGTTGGGTTCTGTGAAACACGCTAGTTATCAATAATGTGTGAGTGTGTGGTTGTTCCAAAAATTCACGATGTTGGCCTTTGGTCTTGAAAACCTGCCTAATAAGCAAGGGACAAAAAAGATGGTCGATAACTGACACAACCATCACATATACGTTCTCTCACAGACCTTGCGCTTAAGAAATAGAGTAAAGTTAACAACATTTATACATGGTTAAGCCAAACGCCTAACTAACGTTATTACATTAGAGTAGTGCCCAATGTAAGGCTACCCTAAACTATGTCGCACTTACATCAGTGGCAGTCGTATAGGAGGGTACAAGGCTAAATTAAGTGCACAATATAATTCGAGAGGTTGCAACACAAATTTGGTCATATCGATTTCAGCTCATGCATTCAACACGCGTCATTGACTATTACTTATTCTCGAGACTTGAACCTCGAATATACATACTGCACTGTACTGTACCTGCAGTTAAAGTCCAGCTGTTTTCGGTTAATTAACCGCCGGCAGTTTGAGCTGATATAATATTAACCATCCTTGCTCTTAAGAGGGGAACCCGTTGTCGTTGTAATCTGATACCCACTTCGATGAACACTTTAGAGCTGATCTTTATCCCAATTAACTCCTCCGTTACACCACGAGCTGTCCATCCTGCCGTCGTCGCTGCTTGGCTAGAGAGGACAGACTAGGAAGGAGGCCAACCACCTTGAGTGCTTCACACTCAGATGTCTACATACCAAGATGCTTTGCCCATGAATTGCGTTGGTGTGTTCTTTATCACTATAGTGCTATTTGGTGAGGACACCAGAATCCTGTCCATCTATACAAGCAACTCTTGAGCTCACCAAGAGCCGTTACCTTGCACGATGCTATAACTAACTGCCATGTCCCCCAAGCGCACCCCACACGTCAGGCTCTCTCACAAGATGTATGCAGTCGGTCATAATTCCCAATGAGGCAGTCCATAGCAGCAACATCTGCGCTACGGACCAAGAATCATTGTATAATCCGCCAATTCGATGCTTCTATATAACCTCGTGGCTGCATAGACCCTGCGATTTAACGTAGTATCTCGGAAGTGGGGGTGTAAAGATGCTCTTCATAAGTTAAACAGTTCCCCAAGTTGAGAGGCCGACTTCCCAGTCTGTAATATTCTGATCAGACCCAGAGTCCGATTCCCACACGCTTGGAGCACTCGATACACTCACTTTACTACTCAAGGTTTTCCTGTTCTGTAGTATTGAGTCGCGTTCTAGCATCACAACGAACAAGATGGTACAAATCGCTCAACTCCTGTCGGGCATTGCTCTCGCTTCAGGCGTACTCGGATCACCTATTGAGCGACGTGCCGTCATCAACCACGACGCCGTCGTTGGCTTCCCAGAGACTGTCCCATCGGGCACTGCTGGAGCGCTATATCTCAAATACAAGCCTTTCGTCAAGACATTCAATGGATGTGTCTCCTTCCCCGCTGTTGACGCCCAAGGCAACACAGGGTACGTATCCTCTTCTCTTGGTGCGTTTCAACTCAAGACTGATTTTGGTTGTAGCGGAGGACTGGCCACAAGCGGTTCATCCTCGAGCGGCTGCAGCTCGAGCACTGGTCAGGTGTATGCTCGAGGCGGCAGCTACAACGGCCGATACGCCATCATGTACTCGTGGTATATGCCAAAGGATTCACCCTCGCCAGGCCTGGGACACCGTCATGACTGGGAGAACGCCGTGATCTGGCTGTCCAGTCAAAGCACAAGCGCCAGTGTTGTTGGCATGGCTGTTTCTCAGCACGGCGGATATGACAGGAGGAGCTCAGGCACTTTCTCGGGCAATAGTCCTTTGGTGGGCTATACCGCCATCTGGCCGACCAACCATCAAATGATCTTTACTGACACGAAGGGTGGCCAGCAGCCCTTGATAGCCTGGGAGAGTTTGCCTGCTGCGGCTCGCACGGCGTTGACGAACACTGACTTTGGCAGCGCCAACGTTCCTTTCAAGGACGGTGCCTTTGAGTCGAACTTGGGCAAGGCGGCTATCTAAGCAGACGTATCCAATTCTTGAGGGCCAGGGACATTGTGATGGAAGTAAAGCAACAGCTCGAGGTTTCAATGATGAGTGTGCTTTATAGTGTGAGAGTTTCCTAGATAGCCTGCTAGTATTGTCGTTCTCGTAAATACTATTATTTACATCGTATCTATCGTGTATTCAATCCATACTATGCCTCAGCGATACATTTGATACATTTGATACATCAACGCATAGAATACGCATATCAAGATAATTGCGACAGCTGTTTGACCTAAGACGTCCTTGGTATTGCATCTTTGCTTAATGCTGAGTCGAGTTTTTTTTTTTTATGATGGTTGTTTGCCACGATTCTTTGATCCAATGACAGTCTTCAAAGGCCACCTAAACAGAAGGTTAATCATTGTCCAGATGCAACTTGACTTGACCAGGCAGTTGAACAACCAACGAGACTCATCGACTATAGTGGGCCGTTGACGGATGAAGCATGTGGGCCAAGCATCACCGAAACAAAATCACTGCGTGTTAGTTAAGCTCGGTCGGTTCAGGGTCCACCGCCAAAATAATTGCAGCAATTAAAATGTGGTGATAGCCTCTCTGATCAAAGTTTGGATTTTCTATCAAAATGTAGAGTGGCGAGGAAAGCCGCCCGTCCGTGATATCAACAACCAATCAACAATGCACGCCTCTGTTGATGCCCAGACGTTATCAGAGCTAATGGAAGGATTGAGTCACCTACCGTAATTCTCGCTGTTCGGGGATTGCGGTGCATGTCCCCGCGCTGTGGATTGACATCATATTAGGTAGTAGGTAGGGAGGTAGTTTCCCCTTTCTCAGTAAAGAAACGAATGCGAATAATATTACTAGAAGATGCTGAATCCTCTTTCCCAATTCCTTCCTTCTTCCTTCTTCTTCCCTCATCAGTTGTGATAATCAATACTTCTTTACGTTGTCAGAGATTTGAATCTTCAAACTACAGCCCACTTGGTATTTTGTCATATTGACGCATTTCTCTATTGCACCTCCACACGGTAAAAGATTGTCGATACCATTACCGCAACAACACTTGGACTTGTATACTCTCATCAGAAGCACTTGAGAACATATTTAGCTATTGCGAAAAGCCACCAAAATGGGAACCCCCTTCATCACCTTTCTTGCACCCAGCAACCTTGAAGGCTACAAGCGTGGTGCTCCTCTACAAGAACAACCGCCAAACATCTCGCAAACCTTTCTGGATGCGATGGAGGTTCGCGAAGCTGTCTTTGTTGAGGAGCAAAAGGTCCCCGCCGAGAACGAATTCGACGACGACGATTCACGTTCATGTCACTGGGTCATCTACGCGAGTATTAACACGGTGGAAACATTGGAAGTTCGCGATGAAGAGGGTAAAGTCATGCAACCCAGGAAGAGCTCAACACGCTCAACCCCGATTGGAACTATAAGACTTGTGCCATTCCCCCATGACCCTCATCCTGAGAATGGTGGGAAGTACTGGAATGGTGTTCTGCAAGACGAGAATGGTAACCAGGGCGGCAACCATAACGGCCACAAAAATGGAGATGCGCCGGAAACCTCAACAGAGAAGCCATACATCATGGACCGAAAGACAACTTTTCACAACGGGCAGGAGCCGTACATGAAACTGGGTCGTCTGGCAGTTATTGAGGAGTTTCGAGGACGTCGCATCGCTGGCCTACTTGTGACTACAGTTCTTAGCTGGCTGAGAGAGAATCCCTCATACTCTGATCCTAATATCAAAGAGTTCGGCCTTGAACAACTCGACCCGGTCATTGGAACTGACATGAAGATACCCCAATGGGCAGGGTTGGTATGCGTTCACGCGCAGAAGCAGGTCGTGGACGTCTGGAAGAAATGGGGCTTCGAAGTGGATGAGGATATGGGCACTTGGTGGGAAGAGGGCATACCCCATGTTGGTATGTTTCAGCGACTGGAAATCGGAGACAAGACGGTTCGACTAGATTAGATACCCATTCTTTGCGTGAACGGCGATGCATGACAGACTTGGAATTCCTACCCAGGTAGAGAGGGATACAAATATGAGATAACAATGCGTAGGCGTTTTCTCAAACGTACAAGAGAAACACAAGGGTCTAGTGGAATTCATCAAAAGATTCATGCGATTATAAACACAGCTATGCATTAAAAGACTTTGTTTATGTTTTTTTTTTGAGTTCATTTCATTTAACTCTCAGGGAGCCCGACTTTTTTATTGAATCTGTAGCCACCTAAGAAAATCCATAGCCGCGTTCCCAGACCCGATGAACGCAAAATGCAATTCTGAAATAAGCCGGAACACGCCAAAGCCAACCCTTCCAGACGTGATACACCTTTGCACCTTTTATCGGTTGCTCTTGGCCACACGCTCCAACTCATCCTTCTTCTTGATAGCGTAAGAGTTGCTAGAACCCTTAGCAGCGTTGATAAGCTCCTCAGCAAGGCACTCAGCAATGGACTTGACATTGCGGAAAGAGGCCTCGCGGGCACCAGTGGTGAGGAGAGAGATGGCCTGGTTGACTCGGCGGAGAGGAGAGACATCAACGGCTTGTCGTCGGACGGTACCGGCGGAACCAATTCGGGTAGAGTCTTCACGGGGACCGCAGTTGACGATGGCGTCGACAGCGACCTGGATGGGGTTCTGGTCGGTCATGAGGTGGATCTGGCCCTAATGTTAGCACTTGGTGGCCGTGAAAAAAAAAAATTGACAAAGACCCTATTCTCGAGGGCTTCTCAGGTAGGAGGACGTACGATCTCGAAGGCGTGGGCGACAATTCGGACAGCCATGAGCTTCTTTCCGTTGTTGCGGCCGTGGTGCATCAGAGAGTTGGTCAATCGCTCAATGATAGGGCAGTTGGCCTTGCGGAATCGCTTGGTGGCATATCGGCCAGCGGTGTGGGTGACGTAGACGGGGTTTCGCAGGGAAATGTAGTCACTGTCGTGGGACGTCCGTCAGCATGTCGTCGCGCACAAAAGTGAGGTTTTTGGAGATAATTTTTTGCCTCCAACAGTTCAGATTAAACGTACGTCAGGGAGATATCGCGGACCTCAACATCGTAGTCCCACTTGTTGAAGAGCTTGACATTGCCAACCTCCTTAACAACATCCTTAGGAAGCACCTCGTAGAGGGCGGAGTTCTCGACCTCGATCTCGCCGTTGTCAGACATTTTTGCTGTACAGTCGGGTTCCGGGACTGGCGTTAGTAGTGCGGGATGAGATGTTCAAAGTTGAAGAGGTGGGCTTGGGTTGCTTGAGATCTCAGGGCATGGAATTTTTGGTGTGTCGGCCCTAGAGCCAACGCGGAAGAATGTGGGTCCACATCTGGTCGCACTTTCCTCATTTTTAGGGCTCACCTGCCCTTGAACTTCAGTGGTTCGCGACTTTGGAGACGTTCATTCTTAGCGATCGCAATACCACACTTTCTCTTACTGTCGTCTTCACACTCCCGTCGACAGCAACATCAGACAAAATGGTAAGTTTTTCTCGGCGACGCCCTCCCCTTTTGTGAGAGAAAGGGAGGGGACTTTGCGAAAAATTAAAATACAATGATGGTTTGACTGACTCTCGATTTCAGGCCCCCGCCGCAAAGAAGCAGAAGAAGAAGTGGTATGTTTGAAGCGTAACGACCATCGTCACCGAATATCAAATACTTACCCATTTTCAAAGGTCCAAGGGCAAGGTCAAGGACAAGGCCCAGCACGCCGTCGTCCTCGACAAGACCACCTCCGAGAAGCTCTACAAGGATGTTCAGTCTTACCGTCTGGTCACTATCGCCACCCTCGTCGACCGAATGAAGATCAACGGTTCTCTGGCCCGACAGTGCCTTGCCGACCTCGAGGAGAAGGGCATCATCAAGCCTGTGGTTACACACAGCAAGATGAAGATCTACAGTATGACCGCCTTCCCCTCCTTCACTCTCCCCGCGCGAACTATCTTTACACACTTCGATACGCTACCTCGACACAACTGCTAACATGATTCCAGCCCGTGCCGTTGGTGGTACCGACTAAATGCAATTCAACGAAAAATTTGAGTCTCACGATTGTGCGTCTGGGTGGCCTGGACGATAGACAGGCCACATGGTCGGAGGGTGTTGCAAGGCGAAAAAGAAGCCTGGTTTAGGACGCTATTCATGCTCGGTTAAGCATTGGGACGGAATCGCTTTAGCACAAACGGCAACGGAATGAAAAATCTTCGAAACGACCAATTTATGGTTCTCATCGTAGTATATCTTTTGTGAATCGTCTATCTGTGATACATGGTCCCATGCCAAAGCATACATTTCCACGGACTCGGCAAGACGCTATTGTCGTAAGGCGAAACAGTAACAACCGACCGAAATGTATAGTCGACCTTGCGTTTAAATCTGGCTCATGGTCCTGCTGTTATCCGTGGGTATATCGGTATGATGAACGAGTTTTTCGAACTTGATAGGCTTGCCGCAGCCACATACCAGTCACTCGTTGTCTTCAGTAGGATACGGATATAGGTTTCATACAATATGGACACTCCAGATCAGAACCACAAGATAAACAATTGCGGTACGCCAAGACCCTAGATGGCATCTTGTTACCCATAAACGAGCAGACATGCCCTCTCGCTGGAGTCTAGTTTCGTCATCAACAAGTCCTATACAACCTCGAGTGTATGATTCGATTGGGAGCTATTAGGAAACAAAGCATGTTCTGAGGGAGTACCAATGACCGGTCAAAGCATCAGAAATGTGTTGTCAATCGTCAAATTTTAGTTTTCGGTGCTTAAAACCCTATATCTTTTTGCAGTCGCTTGGGTAGTCATTAAGCTAAACTGACCCCTCGTGCTCCTCCAAATACAAAACCGGTCTAGAAATATATCAATCCTTTGGGACATCTAGAAATATATCAATCCTAATGTTAGCACCATAATCATACCTGTCGAGATGAATAGCAGTGATAAAGTTCTCCAACATCAGGCACGTGACCTCGGGTTTGAAGTCTTTCTATATTTCCATGACGGCGGGTTGGCGAACAAAACAGATAAATGGCTATACAATAGTCATTCGAACAAAGTCTCTGAATATCAAACGAAAAGAAGTCAATTATCATCTATCTCATCACTACTAACGAGCGGGTCAGAAGTGCCTCTTTAATAACCAAGAGAGGTAGGTCAGCCAGGTTTCTCTTGTCTCAACTCTTGGCTTCGAGTGATATACAACCGAGATACGGATGCAGGTAATTCACTCTAACCCGGATAGGAGATAGTAGCTCGGTTTACGGATACTACCTCGTGTGCAACGTCTATCTCACGTCGGTTATCCGAGGACAAAGGGTAGACAGGAGGTGGTCCGTCGATGAGTGGCACAACAACGAATGGTAAGACTAAAAAAGCCTAGGATAGGAGAGCACACCGTCAATTAAGGAATCCTGTTCATTTCCCAGCTGAATCGATCTCGGAGACGTTGCAATCTTTGAAATGGCCGGCATAGGAGTGGACGCGGTTAGCTTTTCGCTTTTGGCACAGGTCAGTTTCGATAGGCCAATGCCTCATGACAGGATCGGCAAGATTATTTTTATTTGCAGGGTCTGTCCCGAGCGATTTTTAAGGTCTCAACGCAACGGGAATACTCCGAACTGCCTACTCAGTTACGAACACAAGATGATCTCAATGGAATCTGAAAAATCGTTAGTGCTATACCACGAATATCTCTAGTGTATCCCTTTCACGGATTCAATTGACTCGAGTTGGACGGATGTCCCGAAAGATAAGCTAGAAATAAACAACCTTGAATTGGAGCAAAGAAAAATCTTAGGTACAGTAGCCGAAACTGCATGACGATAAGCGGATTGTTCGTACTGTACTGTACAGTGCATATAACAGCAAGGTTCCTTGTCTCAGTAGGGGAACATGAGCGAAGCGGTGGCGGACTTTGAATTCGGCTCAAAGGGACAGTAGCTCAGAGAAGAGCTTGTTTGGCCAAATCTAAGCCTGAAGAAGTTTGCAGCACATGAATAACCTGTTATGAGCTCTGGTAGTCACCATCTCTATTGTCAAATAGTTCAGGGCCTGCTCCCTAAAGGATTACGGGTATGAGTTGAAGTGTTTTAGCTTCCCTTACTTCCCTTGTGGGCCAAAGTTAGGGGTCAGGGTGTGGGATATCACCGTCGTCAAGCGTCTATGTCCTTGGGTACAAACATGATAAACCAGATGTCTGTATTCCAGTGTATCCACTGGCTGACTAGATGTACAGAGTACTGGGCCGAAGTAAACGGATAAACGTCAAATGAGGCAATTGGGCTGACACCAAACATACGGCTATTCCGAGATAGTTATTTGTGTCAGGTTTGTTGCATCTGAGGCGCCTCGGTTGTTGGACACAAACTGGCCCAAGCAAAAAATTCAAGAAACAGAAGGAAAAAAATAATTGTTCTCCTCAAACAAAACAGACACCAATTGGACAGTTAGGTCAGGCTGGGGTAGGTGAACCCCGGGGGAGGCGATGGTAAGGAAGATCCAACACAACCCTACCCAGAGCGGCTCACCTCTATTCATGTCATGAGACTTGCGCACTGTGCGAGGTGTGGCAGCTAGATGCTTCTGTAGGTTCAGTTTCAGTGGCAGTGGATGGTTCTGGGCTGGCGTTGCTGGCTCGCGGAGCCCGGAGGCTAGTGGATTGGAGAAGGGACCGGGGGAGAAGAAAGAAATGTGGGTGAAAGGATGGCTAGATGGATGTCATGATGAAGGGATGGGGGAGGGAAATTTCGATGGTGAAAGAGGGATATACTGACGACATTTGATCGAGATAGATCAATTGTAGCACACAACGGTGAGCATGACATACTCAATGGTTTGGAATATGGGAGATTAAGAACTTTTAGAATTGAAGCCTTCATCGAACTGTACTTTGTACAATATCAATGTATGCCCTGAATGGATCTGAAAACTTTTCCTACAGACGGGCAGCTTGGGCTATCATGGATCCTCGGGCCTTGGGACAGCTCATATCGCCCCAAGGCTTGTAGGCCTGCAAGCTGTATCCGTAGCTGTCTGTTACACCGAACTTCACTGTAACTGCTGTACTGTACAGTACCCCATACAGTAATAGCTCCCATGTCTCCCAAGCCCAAGACGGGTCTAGGTCTCGGCGGTCGACAAAAAATCGGGGTGAACCGGCATCTCATCTTGCAGCAGCAGCAAGCTCAAACCCAGACAGGTCCAAGGATCAGTGAAGGACAGGTTTTGTACCAGAAGCGCCCCACCTTCAAGTCCACTAAGTGCCACTGAGTGGCCACTTGGCCACCCCTGAAAAGCTCACAGACCTGGCAAGGCTGTGGCCTCAGGCTTCCAAGCCCGCGTTGTTGCTGTGGAGAGAGCTACTGGGCTTGGGGCCTGGTTGGCTGGGGGGTCCCAGCTCCCTTTAGCGCGGGACCGGAAAGATTCGCTCCAAAGAGACTTTCTTACAGGTCCGCCGCAATTTTTTTCCCTCCCCCCAAATACCTCTCACCCCCCGTCGGCGCAGATTTATTTTCTCTCGACTCCCTCCATTCTCTCTTCCTTCTTTCATCCTCAATCTCCCCTCAATCCTTTCGTCTTGTTCAAGGGAAAGACCATCACAGCCGCTACCATGTCTCCTCCTGCTGATCAAGGACCCCAGACGGTCTTGGGCATGCCCGTAAGTTTTTCTCTCATCCCCCTCGATCACTATCCAGATCCCCTCGACCGCCAGGTGCCCGCCGATGCACAAAATACCTCCTGAATCACTCAGCGCTATCGAATATCACGACATAATATTTGACATCCATGATGGATGATTCGGGCACAATTGTCCCGATCGTGGTGCTGCTTGTCTTGAGAAGATATTTCCCCCTCGCCTGCATCGTGGCATCTTGACTGAGCGGATCTACCGGTGACAAACAGAAGATTAAAAGCATTTACTAACAATGCTTGCAGCCATTCGTCGCTGACTTCCTCATGGGTGGTGTCTCCGCCGCTGTCTCTAAGACTGCTGCTGCCCCCATCGAGCGTGTCAAGCTCCTCATCCAGAACCAGGATGAGATGCTCAAGACTGGTCGTCTCGACCGCAAGTACAACGGCATTGGTGACTGCTTCAAGCGCACCATGGCCGATGAGGGTGTCATGTCCCTCTGGCGAGGAAACACCGCCAACGTCATCCGATACTTCCCTACCCAGGCCCTGAACTTCGCTTTCCGTGACAAGTTCAAGAAGATGTTCGGCTACAAGAAGGACAAGGATGGCTACGCCATGTGGATGGTCGGTAACCTTGCCTCCGGTGGTGCTGCTGGTGCCACCTCTCTTCTCTTCGTCTACTCTCTTGACTACGCCCGTACTCGTCTTGCCAACGATGCCAAGAACGCCAAGTCCGGTGGTGACCGTCAGTTCAACGGTCTCGTCGACGTTTACAAGAAGACCCTCGCCTCTGACGGTATTGCCGGTCTCTACCGTGGTTTCATGCCCTCCGTTGCTGGTATCGTTGTCTACCGTGGTCTCTACTTCGGAATGTACGACTCCATCAAGCCCGTCGTCCTCACCGGTAACCTCCAGGGCAACTTCCTTGCCTCTTTCGCTCTTGGTTGGGTCGTCACCACTGGTGCCGGTATCGCCTCTTACCCTCTTGACACCATCCGCCGACGTATGATGATGACCTCCGGTGAGGCTGTCAAGTACAAGAACACCATGGACGCTGCCCGCCAGATTGTCGCCAAGGAGGGTGTCAAGTCTCTCTTCAAGGGTGCTGGTGCCAACATTCTCCGTGGTGTTGCCGGTGCTGGTGTCCTCTCCATCTACGATCAGCTCCAGGTCCTCCTCTTCGGCAAGGCCTTCAAATAAGCGATTCGTTCAACATACCCTGTATAGATGAGTGTGGGGGATAAGGATTCGAGGAGAATCTTAATTGGCGGACCTGGCATGGTGTCCGCTGGTTGAAACAAAAAGGCGAGATCGAAGTGCAGATCGAGGGAAGTTGTCACAGATACCCGACGTGGTCTGAAACAGCAGCTCTTTACGGGTTAGAGTGGCATAGGCACGGCGTCTTTTTCTAATCTTGCTTTGCCTTCCGTTCTAGGCCGCTGTAATTTATACACCAATGCAAATTCCCTTTACTGTCTAATCTATGTTCAATCGTTCCAGATGTGTGTGACTGCTTCATTTGAAGTTGTACTTGTCGTGATACTACCATCTGTCCTTTGGGATGAAGTTTCACAAACTTTATTTTAGTGTGCCTGATGACTAAGCCAAAATTTTACAAGCAAGATCTACCTCCACCTACCCCAGTCCGCTGCAAACTAATCGTCCTTCTTTCCGGCTACTCCAGAACCTCCTAGCTCGCGAAATCTGTCGACATGCCTCCTAAACAAACATCTAAAACTGGCCGAGGTCAACCCAAAGCTACCACTAAAAAATCAGCCAAGGCTTCTGAACCTGAACCTGAGCCGCAGTCGAGCAATCCATTCGAGATATCCGATGACGACAATGATCAAGCTGGGCCCTCAACACGCGAGGTCCAGGCGGTTGAGGAAGAAGAGCCTGACAAGACGATCCCGGCGGAGCTTCTGACACGGCTATTACACGAATTCTTTTCGAAAGATGCAACGCGGATATCGAGAGATGCCAACGCTGCAGCGGGCAAGTACTTCGACGTGTTTGTAAGAGAAGCGATTGCACGCGCTGCTGTCGAGAAGGATGTTGGGTTTCTAGAAGTTGAGGATCTGGAAAAGATCTCGCCTCAGTTGCTGCTGGACCTATGAGCAGAAACTCACAATCAAGTCAGTGGTGTTATTTGTGAGGGTCTGATTTAGTTGCGCGAGCTTCTCATAGCCATGAGGGTATCGAGAAGTTCCCAGATGTCAAACACATAACGATATGGGTATGGGGTCTGCATGCCATCTTTGTCCGCCCTTGTATACTGACAAAATAGCAGCTCGGGCCTTGCGTATCATATAATATGATAGTTGTAACTAGCTCTAAACCTAGCTATTATACATGGGGACCTCGCCGTCTCAATCGGCTAGTTATGATAGGAGCATTCATACCTTGGAACGCTTGGTCGCAAGATACAACATCAAGATTGGCGTTCGTTGGAACACAAGCAGTAGTTACTGAAGATGTGTTCCGAAGATTACGGTATATGTCAGTGAGCATGGTGGATCCAATTGAAGTCCTAGTTCTTTGGATGGCTCGAGGAGCGTACTGGGTCATGGTGTGATGGATACGTATTGCCAACTTTCAGCATACCGGGGGTTAATCCAACGGCACAATATTGTCAGTCATGACCATCTTGGAGTAGCACATGAAATTCAGATCATAGAACGATATAAATATGAATAACGGGCACATCGAATACTTGAAGCTAACGTAGAAGTCATTAGCACTGTTCATCTTACCCACACGCCTTCGATGTAGGTTAGCTTTGGGTCCCAGCACATTTCATTTCCAAGCTCTACACAAGTCGAGTATTTCCTCCGTTCAATATAAAAAACTGCCATCATACGAAACAAACAGTCTGGTATTGCCATTCTCTTGGCAGTGCGTCCTAATTATTGTGTGCTTCGCTAATCTCGGAGTTGGGAGTTCTCAGGTTGACGTTGGCTTGCTATGCAACCCTACGCCTGTGAATGAAAGAATGTTGCTAAAAGCGTGAAACCCGCATACTCGAACAGTTGAAAATTCTCCGAAAATATTAGGAGGGCTATTAACCGCTTCGATGATCTACCGTGATATTGAAAGAGATTTCATGGCCAACGTTAACTACTACTAACCTTAGTAGATACCTGCCTATCTAGACTACCCGACTTATGGTGTTTCAAAACTCCAGAATTTGGTCCCCACAGCGATTCTGCAACCAACACGAAACATCGCAGTCTCGAAACCGATCAGCCATTGCAACGAAAGCATTCACCTGCTTGTACGCTAAAAAAAACTCGTTCTCTATGACTAGGCCAAGTGTTTTTTTTTCCGTTTCAAAACAGCATACCACTAGCGCACCCCCGTAAGGGATCAGGTATAGGGACGAAACTATATTCGTCTCACAGGACTACGGATAAGGGACTTCCGACGCAAAGAGACCCCTGTTCAATTCACCCGGCTGGGTCAAGACCCGAGGTCTCCCTATAGTCACTCGGATTATCTCCTTCCTGTGGTATGGGCTCGAATAGTATTCATACTAAGCGCCATGGGTTTGATGGCTCAGCCTTCTATGGATTAAAAGAGGAAGAAAATGTCAATATGATATTGTTCTAAGAGAAACGACTTCAGTCGACATTACCAGGGAATAAGTATCAAGTGATGATGAATTATGAAAGCAATTGCTGTACCGCGCAGTCAATTCTCAGTGCTATCTATATTGACCATACCAAGTCAATATCAGATTGACCTGACATATAGCCTGGGTAGTTCCCAAGCCTTACCAGAGTCTAGAGCCAGGCTGGGTAGGTAGCCAAGAAAGATCTGGCACTCCATGTTTCACTCGCCAACTCTTCTAGTGAAGCCTTGTCGATAACGTCTCATGCTACTCCTGGCCTGCAACGCTGCCGATGGCGCCGAGACGGAAACCCCAACATCCTTATTTCGGTACCATCAAGAGGCGTGCTTCAGATGTGCCTCGAAACTCGTCATCCGGGCCCATGGCCATAATGGGTCGCTCAGGCGATTCAAGGTGTATATATTCCTATTCCGTCTCGTGTCTTTTGTTTTGTTTCTTCTCATCTCTCATATCTTTCCATAATCAACAGTCTGGTCCTGTTCCTTTGAACCTCTTTCCTTATTTCTCTCTTTCTCTTTCCTTCTTTTTCTTTCTTAGACGAGGCCGGTCCTTCAAAGCGCTTGTCGCATATTTGAATTATTTCTTGATCATATTCTTGAACATCTTGTCTAGAACGTCCTTTCTTTGCTCTTTCTCAAATATTCACATCCCCAGACTCCAAACATGCATTTCTCACAAATTGCCATTGTCGCTCTTGCGGCTGCTGCTCAAGGTATGTTTCTCTGCACCATAAAGCTACCCATATAACAAATAATTGACTTGAGTTTAGCTGTCGACGTTCAAGTCGTTGCTGTAGGCCGCAATGGAGCGACAAATGCAACCGGCCTCAAGTTCTGGCCCGAGAAGATCACAGCCGAACCCGGTACCATGGTGCAGTTCCAGTTCTGGACAGGAAACCACACAGTCACACAATCTACTTTCGACGACCCTTGTATGCCAATTGGAAATGTCAACCCTAGCGTTGAGGGCGTCTACTCTGGCTACATGCCTGTCGCCGCCAGCATGTCCAAGGGCATGATTCCTACCTACACCATCACCATCAAGGACAAGAAGCCCATGTGGCTCTTCTGCAGCAAGGCCCAGCACTGCCAGGGCGGTATGTCTATGGTTATCAACGAAGAGTAAGTCAAGCCGCATCTGCCAATATATGGATACCTTTTAACACTCATCTAGTTCTTCTTCCAACTCAACAAAGACCCTCAGTGGCTACAAGGAGAAGTGTAAGGGCACCACAGTCTCCGAAGTCGTCCCAGTCAAGTCTGGCGGTGCTCCCTCCGGTGGCTCCGGTGGCAACGGCACTATTCCTGGCGGCAACGGCGGTGGCAGCTCCGGCGGCAATGACGGAAACTCTGATGACGATAGCTCCGGTGATGACAGCTCCGATGACGGTAGCAGCTCCGGTGGTGATTCTTCTTCTGGCGATGACAGCAGCTCCGATGATGACTCTTCTTCTGACGATGGCTCTGACGATGGGTCTGAAGATGGCAGCGGCTCCGGCCTTGGTGGTACACCCACTGACGGCTCGCCCTTGACCCCCGGATCTGCTGGCACACCAACTGCTGGCACACCTGTTGTCACAGCTGGTGCTGCAGACCTCTCTGCACCCTTGTCGATGCTAGTAGCAGTTGGTGCCGCCGCCCTCTGCGTGCTGTAGATCGATATTCAGTGCTGCATGAGTGTGTTTTATGTATAGACGTAATGTTGGGAACAATTAATCGGGATACCTGTGCCAATTGCTGGAACGATTGGAAGTCCCGGGATGGGCATAATCAAATATCTATGGAGTTCAGGACAGGATTGCCAACAACTCTGGCAGATCATTATGGAATAATGTATCAAGTTTACATGTATAGATACTTATAAATACCCAATAAACTTGGAGAGATCATCTTATTGTTGTATTTATTGAGGGGGGAGTGATTGCCATCTATTCAGAGCCTGTATTTCAATATAAGGTTTGGATCTGATGTTGAGCCCTGTGGCGTTACTGCCACCACTACTGTTTACACACTGTTGAGTGATCGAATCTACTGTTAAGCGTGCGGCTCCTTTCAGAGTGTCGGCTGCTACAAAACAAAATTGTTGTATTTATTTCAATTCGTGCCAGGACAGAAGGTATGCCCTTGAATCCTGCAACACTACGATACATGCTAATCAAATCTTTTTTTTAAAAAAAAAAATGGAAAAAAATTGTCCATATTGTTGTGATAGTGCCGTAATTTACTGCTTGCTTTGAGGAATCTTTCTGGTCTTCCTACTCTTCTGGGCCTGGTCGCAAAGCTTCTTGGGCTTCTCCTTCTCCAGCCAGTCAGGGTCTCGCTGCACATATCCCACCTTGGAGTACTTCTTGTTGTTGGCGAAAAAGTCAACCCAGTGCTTTAGTGTAGCATAGGCCTTCTGCTTGGCTTCCTCCAGCTCCTTAACCTTGAGCTCGGCGAGCTCTTCAGGGGTCCAATGCGAGTCGATCTCGGGATTGTCGATGGGCAAGAATGTCTCCTCATAACCACGGAGATCTGCAGTCTGGTCCTCAGCGAAGCAGCCTGTAACAAAACCGCGGGCGGCATCGGTGGCAGCAAAGTAGCTGTATGAACCGCCGGGGCCGTACATGCGACGACCCGGGGAGACGTCGTAGATGGTGCCGTTGATGGCGAGTAGAATGGGTCTATCGGGATCGCGACCATCGTAAAGAGAGAGCTCATCGAGAGTCATGTAGGTTGGGGGTGGCTGCGAGAACATATGTAATTAGTGCTAGCCCAGCAACAGCTTTAACAGGCAAGACATACTGGTCCAAGAATCAACTCCTTGTAGAATTTTTGAGTCATCCATTCCGGCTTGTTCTTATGTCCCCACCAGTAGCTCTCTCCTCCGCTTATAACATAGCTGAGGCCCATAGAAGCTACGAAGAGGAAGCTGATGACGCGGAGGATGTCGAGGTAAGGAGAGTAGCCATCCCAGGTGTCATCGTGGTCGATCTTGGAAGATGATGTCTTCTTGCCCTTTTTGGTAGGAGTTGAAGGTTGAGAGGCTTCAGATGCCGAGTCGTTCTTCGGCTGAGCTTTGCGCTGTCGGAGTGTCGATTCGTCCGCCATGGTGACAAGATGGGATATTTTGTAGCTTACAAGTTATGATGCTGTGAATCAAAGAGAGGCTAGATTCGTAAAGAAGACGGAAAAGTATTTATAGAGTAGGTAAAAGGGGCGATCTTAATATAAAGTGGTGTGTCCTATCACCCTGATCTGGCCTTTTCTCGGATGGAGTGGAAAGCTTCAGCTTTTCCCTGCATCATTAATAAAGTTACGGATACTGCAACTGCGACGTTGGACAGCTTTATCGCAATTCTGATACGCCTTATCAACCAACTCGCTCCACTCCGCGGGGTCATCGAGTTTGAAGACGCTTGATTGGATTATTGAGACATGATTCTCACTAGAAATACGCCTATGGAGTCGATGTAAGCCGAAAGACCGGTATGCAATCACCTGATGCAGTCACTATCACCACAGCAACAAGACATTCATCCAATCGAGATTATGCCCACATTAGAAGTGGGATGTAAACAATCAATAATATCCCAGAACCACTTAATTCTACTGTACCTCTCTCTATTCTGTACCTTATCACAACACACTAAAACAATTAACATTCAAACTCAACTCTGCATAACCGCAGCCACAGAACGAATTCAATCCATCGCCTTTCAGCTCAATCAATATACATTCATACCAACTCTTCCCAAACAATGGAGCAGCCAAACAGCCCAGGGGGCTCCTCCGGTGGTCCCCTCCAGGCTGTCACCGCAGACCGCGTAAATCAACAACGGGACCGAGAATCAGTCTTTACTCACCTCCGCCCAGCATCAAGAGAAAGTGTCCACGATAAGATCAGCCAGTTCAACAACCTCAGTGTCACCATGCAATCAAAACAATTAGAACGCAAAACAGCCGACGCTGCCTTGAAGCGCGCCATGCTTGGTCGTGAAGAGGCCGAATCCGAGTTGCGCAAAACTAGAGAGGAGACAAAGGCACTAAAGAAGGCCATCGATGAGGGTAAAGAGCGTGAGAGAAAGGTTGGAGAGCGTCTAGAGGCGTTGATGGTAGGCATTCTCTCCCAATGCTAATGTAGAATGCATATTGACCGTCTCCTAGGAGAACTATGGCCGAGCCAAGGAGACACACGCACATACCCAAGCTCTTTGGGAAAAGGAGATCCGCCGCGCACGAAAAGAGACATTTAAGACACAATCGTCAATCGTCAAACTCCAAGAAGAACTCAAATCAGCCCGTACCAACGCAAAAATGATCGACGAAAATCTCAAGCGCGAAAAGGCTAGAAGCAAGGTCCGAGAACAGGAGGCCTTCGAAGCCCGCTATCAGATTGTCGGCGTCCAGGAACAACTTGACCAGGCCCTAGAACGCATTAAACTCGTCGAGCAGGAGCGCGACGCCTTCAAGACCGCTGCTAAAAATGAGGAGGTCGCCCGTATCGCCGCCGAGGGTCGCATTCCTCTACCGCCACAAGAAGCCGATGATGAGTTTGCTTCTCCACAGAAGGTCAGGAAGAGTGCATCAAAAGAACCTCGCATGTCACTCTCAACGATGGACATCATCTCTTCAGAAGCAAGCGAGGCCGAGATCGAGGAGTTAGCGATCCAATTGCAATGGGAACGTCAAAGAGCCGAGCGTGCTCACGAGATGATTGAGTTCCTGCAGGCTGAGTGCCACTTGCGTTGCTGTGCTTGCTCCAAGTCGAATCGCCGCAGCAGTGTCGAGGCCCCTCGCAAGAAACGTCGTAGCTCGATCGGTCTCGAGGGACCCAATGACAAGGTTATTAAGCTCGATAACAAGACGCTGGAGGATGAGAAGCGTGCTGCTACACCTCGCATTCAAGAGCCACACCATGAGGCTCAGCCTGAAAATAAGGTCAATGCCGAGGCAGAGCCCGAAACTCAAGCCCAATCAGAGCGTCAGCAATATCTGGAAGAACCACCTCGCGTGCTGCCCAAGTCCAGGAAGGAGCCTCGTCGTAGCACTATCTTCTGTCCCAAAGAAGGCATCTTCCGAACCGTTTCTGAGCAAGAAGCTGAGATTATTGAGGCGCAACGAAAGATCGAGCAGGCAGAGGCTCAACGTGAGAACCAGGCTCACGACGAGTCTCAGGATGTGGACGAGGTTGTAGTTGAAGAAGTGGTAGAGGGCGAAACTTCTGTTGGTGACAACACTGAGATGGAGCGCCGTATATCGGCAGAGACCGAGAGCAATTACAGGAGATATGCACGAACTCCTTCAGTCGAGCCTCCGGCCTTTGCGATGCTTGCAGCAGAGCGCACTAGTCTTGCCTCTCTGCTCAGCGCCCCTCACAATGGAGCTCACTCCGCCCCTATTCCTCAAATACCGACCATGCCAGATGTATCCGAGGATGTTCTTGCATCCCCTGAAACTCGACCTCACACCACCAATGCCTTTTACACTGTCACTACGACAACAACCGTGCCCATGAAAGACGACAACGCAAGGAACAGCGCCTCATTCAACGAACGACTTCGCACACCCTCTCAGAACAGCACAGGCACCACTTTTGACCTTTCCAATCCCGCTCTCACACCTACCATGACCCGTGAGGAGGCTCTCGCCAAGATTCGCGAGCGTCGTGGTCGTGCCCGCTCAATGGCCCAAGGCACATCAACGCCTGCCCGTCGAATGGTCTCAGGTACTGAGCGACGAGACATGAGCGCCCCTACAGGCAAGGTTGCTGGTAAGGGGCGATGAATGCTGAAATAAAGAACTGGACGAGCCATGGACACGACTTGACGATACCCAATTACTCTTCACCACACCTATCAATCCTCTGATTCTCTCTCACTCCGACCCGCACATAAAGCTTCGGCTTTAGTTTTCTCTTCCCTCTGATGGGCTTCTCTCTACTCGCCCCTACCTTTGCCCATCAATCATTTCTCCTTTCTTAGCAAGGCGAAGGGCGTTATTGTGTTTTGTTTTTCTTATCCTTTCTGCTTTAGATCATTTTCGCAAGGCCACTTGGAACATGGGGATGGATACCTTACTGAGCGAAATGCGTTCATTCGTGATTACTGATGCATTATGGGTGGTTTGATAGATTATCATATCATGTAAATTATTATACTGTTTTTGGTCACGATCAATAGCCAGTGACAGGTATTGTGTACGAGTTGTTTATTTTGTATTTGCAATAACATCATGACATGTTCATGTTCATGTTCATACACGGCGTTCTGCTTGTTGTTTGGATGCCACTTCTTGGGTATGGTTTGATGGTATCAGAGGCCTTGATTGTGATTCAATACGATATCCAAAACGACTGGCTATCTGAGAAGATGAATATGTGAGCAATTCCCGCTGCATATTTTCATATAAGCATGCAGTTAGCTTCCCAAGAAGCCCCTTGACATATTCCGTGCCAACTGCGACGACATCGCATCTAGTTTGGTCGCAACGAGAACACACTCGACGCCTCTACCATTTGGCGAATACTGAATGCGTAATCTCCACTGTCCTGTTTTCACAACCCATTCCTCATCTTCAGAGTCTCCATCCACGCGTCGTCGTTTGCGCGGGTAATTGCTTCCGGAAGACTCGTTTCTGATGAAATCTTCGAGATAGTCCTTGCCGTCCAGAATAATGGCAGATTCAGGCTCGAGGACTACACGGACATAATCCTCCGTCAGTAGAGTGTTTCCAAGAGCTGTGGACTGATTTGTCTGAAACGAGTTCAGCTTTGACGATACTAGTTCAAAGAGTTTTGCGACACGCGCTTTGGTGTCTCTGAAGAACTCTGCTTTTGCATCGCCTCCCGAGAAATGAAGTTTCGTTGTCTCGCCACCGATCTCGAGCATTAGCTCTGCCGGTTTCTCCTCCATGTATGGTCGAGCGTATTGTACAAAGCCCGCTAAAGGATCTGTATTGCTAACAAAAACGCTAATGCCGCTCTTTTGGATGTTTTCAAGACGAAGGACAATCTCGTTTCGTCTTGTTGCTTGATTGTAGCTCAACGAGTGTGGAATGAGTCGTTGCTCAAGACCCTTGAAGTGAAAGTAGCGCGCATCGCTGAGAAGTTCCTGTCGGTGCGTCTCGTCGCGAATGTGAATGGGATATCCGCGTAGAAAATGTAGAAGCTCGGCGAAGGTATCAGCGCTACGCTTTGGGACCGATGGGGGCAGAATTGACGGTGGGCGGATCAGGCCTTCGCGTTCAAGGCCGGGGAAGAGATCGTCGGGGCGAGAGAAGAACGCTGCAAAGCCAAGAGAGAAGTAATTGGGAGAGTTGCCGGGGTCTTTAAAAATTTCTCTGGGGATCTGAAATTCGCGATGTCCAATGGAGATGAAGATGCTCTCCTCGTAGAGCTGGGAGATGAGTTTCGGCACTGTTATTCCGCTGATTAGACAAAGATATATATCCCACACGGACAGATTGACAAACAGCTGTAGAATTGCGCATCTGAAAAGAGGCGCACGAAGTGCTCGCCATCGCGGGGTTGGACATGGTAGCCCTGAAGATGGAGCGAGATATCGCGAAAGATGGAAGGATCGCGATCGATGTAGAGCGTTCTGAGGGATGAGCTCGACTCGTCCTTTCGTTCCTTTGCTGACTCTAATTGACAGACAAAGTACTGAGAGAAGTAAGACGGGGCTTTGCGAGGCGTTAGCTGTGCATTTTTGTGTATCTTGATATCGCAACGCGTTATGCGACAGGGCACATTGTCGCAAACAAGACTGAAGCCTGAATCTTACCATCAGAGGACAATGAAGCTCCCGAGAGCTTAAACAACTCGCTGCCGATCTGGATGGGAAATACGCGCTCGTGAGGGAGGATAAGCGGGATTCTTGAGACGTTGCGCTCCGACAGTGGCTCAACAGTCAAGGGCCCTGTTTCTGAGGAAGCAATTGAAGTCATTGTGATCGTATCTTGTACAATCAAAGCAAAATTTCTTTTTTATGTCGTCTTGTAGTTCAAATGCGACAGCTTATAGACAGAAGCCATTCTTGTCAGGCTCAAAAGAGTTCAAATCGCAACGCAGCGTTGCCAACGTTGCTTGATAAGGTCAGGTCGGCCGCCCTGCCTAAGGTGTAAATTTAGGCCGATTGACACGAGCGCATTCACAGTTGCAACTTACACGGGAGCTGCAGAAGCTTACGCCACTAGACATGGATGAATTGTGGCTGACATATGCATTATCAATGAATTGACTTTTCAATAAGGAATTTGAGATCAATGACATTTGCTTATGTTTGATGATTCTCATTCATGTTGTTCTATGTAACGCCTTTTGTCCTGCCCGTATGACACATGGGTGTGCTCTTCAGCTTCGTACATCCTCTTCTAGATGCCAATACAACTCCATTAAGCTCCTCGTAAGAACTCAGAAACCCGATTGGTGGTTTTCACCGTATTTGTTCACCGACTAATCAACTCAACTCAACTCCACTTCGGACCACTCCGACGACAGCTCCGGTTTGGATGGACTCGCTGCTTCCACTGGCGACTCTATGCTCAATGTTGGCGAGCCCATCCAACCAAGTGATCATGGCCTCTGGGCTGACATCAAGCTTCACCAGCTCCTCAGAGAGAGCGGTGATGATATCTGCCAGGGCAAGACCCCGTTGTACCTTAAGGGCGTTGATCGTGTTGAGGCAGCTTGTGACATCTGATGTATGGAGCAGAGTACCCAGAATCTCTTTGATAGCATCTGGTGGTGGTGCTGCAATGCAGTTGTAGATGGTTTCTATTGTGATGTTTTCACGTTGGATTTCACTGTCCGGCACCTTGGGTGCATCCTTTGCTCGCAGTGGTGTGCCTGATGATAGGTTAGCAACCGGGTAGTGCAAGTTCCATGTCAGTACTTACTTGACGCATGGCACGCTTGTAGCACATTCAATGCTCTTCGCATGTCACCTTTGCTCAGCTTTACCAGCGCATCGACCCCCTCTCCTCTAATCTGGACATTCTCCTCCTCCACCACCTTGTCCACGAGAACTCTGATATCGCCCTCCTTCAATGGGCTGAAACGGAATCGTGTGCATCGACTCAAAAGAGCTGGGCTGAGTTTATGGGAGTAGTTGGCAATGATGCAGAATCGAGTGTTGGTTGTGTACTTTTCCATAATTCGTCGCAGAGCCATTTGAGCGGTACTTGTCATGGCATCAGCCTCGTCAAGTATGATGAGCTTGAATCCAGCCATCGAGTTACCCGAACGAGAGGCACCACCCAAGGAGAAGATCTGCTTGGTGCTGGCAAACGTCTTGATCTGCTCTCGCACGACGTCAATACCACGGTCGTCCGAGGCGTTGAGCTCAAGAACCATCTGACGCATATTGGCAGCGCCATAGATGCGACGGGCAAGCGCAAGAATTGTTGACGTCTTTCCGGTACCAGGAGGGCCGTATAGAAGTAGATGAGGGAGGCGGTTCTGGTCGATGAATTTGTTGATGGTAGCGAGAATGTCTTGATGACCCGAAACGTCGTCGAGAGTGTTTGGTCTGTATTTCTCGACCCTGTATTTTGTTAGTCGATTGTATGTGACCGAAGTTGAAGGTCGGCTCCTCACCAAGGTAAGCTGTCTTCAGCTTCGACTGGTAGGTTGGCGGCACTGCGCTTGCCTTGCTTGGCTTCAGAAGAAAAAGTGATGTCCTTGCTGGGAGCCGGGACATCAACGTCCATCTCGTCTATGTCGGACATTTTGGCGCTTCTGTTTTGTTCAAGTTACTTTGGGCGATAACAGGTTGGGGTTGTTGATTGTCGCTCAATTTTGGTTCGTCAGTATCAGTATGGAAGTTTGAATATTGAGGTCACCAGGAGAGACGCGCTAGGTTGCAGCTAAACGCGTCTGGACGTGTTCAATCAATTAAGACCCCTGCATATAGCAACAATCAATCATGGATAAGTATTCCGTGGCTTCACTCAAGTTCATGTAAAGCAATACTTTTTTACTGTAATGTTTTCTTTTTCTACCCATGATTTAGAATTACTATCCTTACACTAGGCAAACATATTTGTGATATCTAAAAAACTACTGGCAAATCACCTATTCAATAACACATTATGACAACTCTAGAGTTATCTACATCTATGCCACCAAAGGAACCCCGGCCCATCATAGCTCAATATCTTCATTAAGAGAAAACAATATCTAAATTATGTTCCAGGCCATCCATAGTACTGGCCTCGTCTCGCGTTACCTCGTCACTCATTGCTCGCGTAGTTGATTCGTCCCTAAACCAACTAGCTCAAACATTATAGGGATAATAGCCACTGCAAACCAAGCAATACCTAATACAAAGTTAATATTCGTCACTTTACAAAGAGAAAACAACGAAAACTTACCAGTGTACACGACAAGCTTGGTTACAACCTCGACGTCATATCGTACACGGGGCTTGATCAACTGCGAGAACATCTCTTTTTCGCCCAACCTGTCTTCTGGGCTTGTAACAAATATACCAACCCGGTCGTCCTCGGCAGAGGGTGTCATAACGACCTCGCCGGTTCCCATCATTTGCTCATACTCGACAATACGTTGAGGCTGCGAGCCAGAAGTCTGAGCACCCTTTCCTGAATGGTCCTCGTGTGCGTTCTGGAGCTCGACGTTGCTCGACTTGCTGTTCAAACTATGGTTGCTGCTGACGCTTTCACGTCGCTTGCGCTCCCTATAAGCCAAGGTCTCGTAAGCATCCGCAGCACTCTGGGGTCCAATTGACACAGAGCGACCTCGGGTTGTAGGGTTTCGGATACTCTCAACCATGCGCGGGAAGTCGGACGGCGACGGGAAAAGAGTATCGATACGAGAGCCTGCCGGGACCGTCTTGTATTTACTGGCAGGAGTGAAGAATCGCCGAGGCATATTCATGCCAACCTGCTCAATGATTCGGAATAAATGAGGCAGAAGCTTAAGCAGCAAGGGCTTCATGGTTTCACGCCAAAGAAACACCACCAAAACGCCAAATACAATTCTAGCCACATTGGTAATCAAGCTCAAGTGTGTAATATCCACAGCTCCTCCGCCATGCGCATGAGTCTCCCAAGGGTCGATTGCAATCTTACCGTATGTCCAAGTACCAAACTCGAGGCCAATGAGGACACCGGCGAAAGCAACACTATCGTCGTAGCATGGACAATCGTCTGCCGGTTCTGGATGAATCCGCACAAGTACTAAGATAATTAAAGCGGCCACGAAAGGCGCAATCCAGGAACTCGAGTGCATATATTCGTCGAGAGGAGGTCCATAGTAGAATTCAAGGAGAGAAATGGCAGCACCCATGATTGATCCAATAATGACATCCAAAAAGCCGTGCATGCCACAATAGAGACGTCCAAATATAATCGAGGCAGCGTAAAAGTATGAGAGACATTCCAATGCAAACTTTGTGGTTGAGGGAAGTGTATTCTCGGGACTGCGCAATATCAGGAGCGCATAGACAGCGACAGAGACGGCATTGGCGCTATGGGTCGAAGGGAAACCATACTCGAGGGCTGCGGAACCGGACATGGTAATTCGGTGTAGAGGAGGCGACAGCGGGCGTGGAAGCGAGTAAAAGTCCTTGATGAAGCCAGTCCAAAAGACTCCAAGAGCAAGAATGTGAACGAGCCTGTGTGGAAGCATGTCAGCGGTGTTATCTCCGTATAGTACAATGTCAGAACTGAGCCTGCACTGCGACTGCAACGAATCATCATGCGGCGCAGCTCAACGAGTATCTGGCTTACCCTTTTCCAAAGGCGGCATATCCGCACCAGAAGCAAATGGGCAACCCGATCATGAAGAAGGTATGGGTTCCAAGGTTGGCAGTAATAGCAAAGTAACTATCGAGAGCTGGAGTTCGCATCTTCTCCTGCATCCAGGCAAGGTAGGGCGTCTCCCATCGGATCAGGGGCAGCAACTGCTGGCGCAGGTCGTATCGCCATTTCGGCAGAGCGCGCTTGTCTGTAAGACGAGGGGAATCAGCAGGGCTCGGGGCGCAAGAGAGGCCGCGGTGAGTATGTACAGTGATCGAGACTCCTTAGACCAGCATCGGGAACATCGTCGCCTTTGGCATGTCCGTTTGGCGTAGGCAGGACCGTTGCAGTTGTGGTTATGGCTGCGGTTGAAGTAAGCGATGGCGGGGCATCGCGTCTAGGGTCGCTCATGATTCTGCGGCGGCGGAAGAAGATGAAGAGGAGGGGAGGGGTCAATTGCGACTAGGACGAGATCGAAGACGACGAAGAAACATTGAAGACAAGAAAGGATGTGACTAAAGATAAAAGAGTTGGAAGAAGAGCACGAGGGAAGCCTGGAGTTTGAATGGACAGACAAGCACCCTGGCTGAGGAGGGAGTTGTAGCAGGTTAGGTTAATTGATGCAAGGTACTCTGTAGGAGTAGTGAAAGTTTGAAGTGGAGATTGCTCTAACGATGTGCCGATGTAGGTAGTTTAATAGTTTAATACCTCCTAGAGAGACCTATGGATGCAACATAATTAAACTTGCAAAGGATCAAGGATCTAGTAAAGAGCACTAGGACAAGCATTTGGATTATGTGTCAGCATCAATATGTACTGTATCCAATAACGGTCAATCCATAAGTGATGAGATTACATGGTACTACTACCTACCTGGTATACACTGTGCCTGCCATGCTGAATATCCCAGGATAAATCAGCTTCATCCATTTGGGTACTTTTACTTTACTTCAATGCTTGGCGCACACAAATTACAGAGATACCAGTAAAATAGAAAGAACCGCAAGAAATCGAGATTTCAACTACAGATCGTTTCTCTTGTTCAACTCTCGCGGTTCTCCTCATCGAACCCCTGCTGGTCCTTCGAAGCGAAGCCAGTCATGGAAGCTGGAGAGGTCGGCTACCAAGAAAGGTCAACGGCTTGCACAGGGGGTGTTTACGTATTGCTTGAGTCTTCCCTCGGAATATTGTGGTAACATGATAATAACCGGGTGAGTATATGGTAGGATGTCCTCTTACAGTTACGATGTAATTCAAGTGGAGAGACTTCGTCCTCGATTAAGTTACCCAAGGTAGCAACTATGACATGTGTCCAACCAGGAACCGATCGATTCCCTTGGCGTGACGTCGGTCTACTTAGTAGTGATTTGAATACATACACAATTAAACAACCTCAAATACAAAAATAATCGCAAATCTATTAATTCGATATAATCAGGTATAAAGTAAACCTTAGAATGATGGTATCAGTTGACAGCTCATGCCAGGCAGGGGCCAATTCGTAATGATTTAGTAGGCGTATCCTCGTCTAACAAACTCAACCTCGAAATTTCACCACAACATCACCAACTCACTCCTTCAGCAATGTCATTCTCCCTCCGCGGTAAACACTGCGTTGTGACCGGAGCCACCGGCGCAATCGGCTTTCGTATAGCGGCCGCTTTTGCCCAGCGTGGCTCCGTCGTCACCCTCCTCAGCCGATCTGCACCAGATGCCCGGCTCAGCCTCGAACACCAGCTCGTTCCGTATGAGCCGGAGCAGGACCGCAAAGACATGAGCGATGAATTCCCAGAGAAGCACCGTTTTATGCGCCTAGACGCTACCAAGTCCTCCACGTTCAAGGGCTTCTTTGGTTCCTCTGTCGGTCCTGTTGATGTCCTCGTTAACTGTGCTGGCGTTAGTCAAACTTCGTTCATCAAGAGGACTTCTGATGAAGATATTCAAAATATCCTCAACACAAACCTTCAGTCAGCAATTCTTGCCTCCAAATACGCCAAGATGAATCCTCATGGTGTGTCATATAGACTCTACATTTCCAATTCTATAATCTTACTCTAGGCTTCACAGGATGCATCATCAATGTCTCGAGTCTCATGGCTAATAAGAATGGAGCTGGTGCTTCAGTATACGCCGCATCAAAAGCTGGCCTTGTCGGTACGCTTATCACGTCCCTATTTTTATGCTACATGAGAGCCCATACTATTATACATACCAAAAAACAACCCACTCACTCCATATTCTCGCAGCTTTCACCCGTGCCTTAGCTACCGAGTATAGTCCTCGCTCCATTCGCGTCAACGCCTTGCTACCTGGTTGGATAGCTAGTCCAATGTGGGATCGTGAGTTTATCCTTCTTTTCGCCCCATTAAAGCATGTCCTAGGCGTCCGTCGCCCATGCGAGAAGAGGGCAATGTTAATGCAAAACCCCATGTTCTAGATCTAAAGCCAGATATTCAGCAGCAATGCCTCAAAGACTGCCCCCTGCGCCGTGTAGGACATCCCGATGAAGTGGCGGACGCTGCTGTCTTCCTGGCGACGAATCGTTTCGCAAACAACTGCGTTCTAAACCTCGATGGTGGTTTAAGCGCCGTGTAAAAACCTCAAGCCCGCTCATATGCGTACAGTCCTTCTCGGCCATAGTTTATCAATCATCAATAACGATCGCACCCCCACTGACGTGGCCTTCGTTCTGGTCCACATCCACGATCTCGGCTCCTGAAGGCGTAATCTTGACCTTTTTAAGAGGCTGACCACCATCCTCGGTGTGCGGTCTCTTGACCCCCTTGTGCTCGGCATCGATGGCTTCTCCGTTTGTCTCGCCGTTAGAATTCAGTTCGGCAGGCTGAGGTTTCTTTGGCCGGCGTGGGATTTCAGGCTTGTCTGAGAACTTGGCCTCGACTGGCTTCTTGTCTTCTTCCAATGTACTATGATGTGTAAGCTTAGTCTGTAAAAGAGAAGATAATAAATGACGAACCCTTCTTGAATGTTGATAACAACATTCACAAAAGTATCATCGTCATCTTGGTCGATGACAGTCAGGAACGAGTCTTTCTTGATGCCTAACATTCTGGTCAGCTTTATGCGTAGTGCCATGCTCATTTTCAAAGACTTACCAAGGTCACTCAGTTTCTTTGGTAGGTTCTCATCATCTCCGTCCTCAAAGCATTCGAAAAGTGTACCAACGTCGTTGTTCACGACAAATTCTTTACCCTCGTATCCCAGCTTTGATTTGATAATTTCGTCGACAAGGTCTTGGAGAGTAACACGAGATAAATCTGCAACAACGCTAGTGAAGTAAACACTGCATACTGGGCAGTCGGGATTTGGCTCCCGAGACCTGTCTGGAGCCAAGAGTCGAGCGGGCGCGAATGGTGTCAAAAAGACCTCCTTGGACTGTGCGTATTCGCCCTTCAGAACTTTGTAGGACTGAAGAACGCAGAGTCCAGCGACAATCGCATTTGTCGTGGCAATGGCGGGAATGATATTACCGGCCATCTGCTTTGTATCGAATCGGGACTTTTTGTCGATGCCGAAGATATGTGAGCGAATGTTTGCACTCGCCGTCACAAAATCAAGTGTATCGATATCATCCTTGTCAAAGCCGAGTGTAGGCTCAGGGGCTTCAGGCGCCTTGTTCTTCTTGAGCTCAAGGATCTTCTTACTCAATCGGTCAAGACTGTCGTTAAAGACCACGAGACTCTCCTCTAGTGACCACACTCGTTGGTCGTCTTCAAGAAGCACCTTTTTGTTGGCCATGGCATCACTGGCTTGTGCGAGAACGGTCTCGTACTTGAGGGGCTCGGGGGCACGTCGCGACGTCCACATATCTTCAACGGAACGTAGCCGTTCGATGTCAGCATTAAAAACCTTGTCGAAGAGCATCTGAGGAAATTCGGATGTGCCAGTAGCATCTCTGATTTGCTTGAGAGCTTCTGACTCCTTCTTCAATTCCTCAATCTCCTTGGCTACTATCTGTCAGCAAGTGTTAGTCCTCGGCGCTGCAGGTAACTTACCATTGTCAGCGTCAGTCGAGTGATCAAAGGCCGCCTGGTCTTCGCTGGTGCCAAACATTTCACTAGAAGCTTATTAGCAACAGTTTATGCGACGCAGTCCAAGTACGTACTTGAGCAGGTAGCTTTTACCCCATACAATGCAGTGGATAGGTTGGCTAGGTGTACTACGGATTGTGCACACGGGGAAAGACTTGGGTGTTTCCTTAGGGGTACAGTCGTAGCATGCGGTCACACCCTTCTTGATGACCTGCACCTGGCCGTTGAATCCCGTGGTGCCACTTTCGATCAGTGGTACATCGGCTGCCAAACACATCTTGTTCACGTGTCTGCGAGCTTCGAGATTGTCAAGGGCATTAAAGGCAATGCGGAATTGCTGAAACCAGGCCACTGTGAATTCGTCATCCTTGATGTTGGCGTGGTGCGCGACAATTTTTACATTCGGGTTGAATCGTTGTGCCGCCTCCTTGGCTACCTGTACATTTGTGAGTATTCTACCAGCCCCCAAGTATCGCGAGAAGTATAACGCACTAGTGCCTTGGACTTCTTTATGTGTTCGTGTCGGAAGAGAAATTGTCGGTTCAAGTTGGAAAGATCGATGGTATCGAGATCGACAATGTGGATTTCGCCAAAGCCAGTGAGAACAAGATTCTTGAGCAACTCGCAACCAATTCCACCGGCACCGACCATGAGCACACGAGCCTGCGCATTCCTGATCAGTTCTGACGACAAATAAATACGAAATCACACGGTCGTATATTATGCACCCCATTCTCTCATGCGCCACTTCCGAGCATCGTATCGCGTTGGAATCCGATCTGGAATCAGGGCGCAGAGGCAGAAAGTTGGGTTCGTGAATGGCAAACATACCTGTTTGATTGAGGTGTTGAGTGATGCGCCGAGGGACTGTTGATTGTGTCTATCACGCGTAGCTGTTGGTAAACGTCTCTGGGGCGCGTTCTCGGAGGAAACAGGCTGTTGCTGCGCTTGTTGCTGTGTTTGCGGTTGCTGCGCAGTCGCTGAAGGTGCAGCTGGAGGTGCCGTCGCAGGTTGTGTCTGGGCCGGAGCCTGGTCGGCGCTCGTCGCATCCATTGTTATCGTGTAGCTCAGTGAAGGCGGGAATACAAATACAAAGAAACAAGAAGCTCGTTATGAGAGCTGCGCATGCGCTTGGGGCTGATGCGCTCTATTAGGGTTCGTGGAGTCGTGAAGGATCGCGGGTAGTTGAAGGTAAGAAGTTGGATTAGATGTTGGATGTTAGTGGTGAGAGAGCTAGATAGAGCACCTAGCAGCAGTGCAAGGTTCCGGGGCGACCAATCAAACACACTCATTGTGGTGAATCGAGCTTCTAGAGCAGGGAATCTCTAGCGAATTCCAGGTTTCTGATTGGCTTTGATGAGAAGTGGGTACATTTGTGAAAGTTGTAGGCTTCATGACTGCCATCCATGGATGGACGGTGGTAGGACAATCTACGCAGTTGCACTGGAATAGACCGTTGGAAGCGTGATAGTGACATTTGGCTGCAGGCAAACAGACAAAGTGATGGACATAGCAGCAAAAGAAAGGTCACTCTTCTTATTTATCTAGTTACTGACAAGCCAATTGGTTACCCCCAGAAATATCCGTATACAAGCTATCATCCAATCGACGTGTTTTCTGTTTCAGCCATGGCAATGGGACAATAAGAGCTGGCCGCTGTGGCCGCGGGGACCCTTCGGGTAGAAAAAAAATTAAAAGGATCTGATACTCAAAGTCTAGACCGAATGATTCAGACAAAGCCTTCAGCCATACTCATTCTTCAACGTTAATTTTCCCACGCTTTCCTCTCCTATTTGACTTTTTATTTTATTTTTTACTTTTCTCGCTCTTTTGCACTTGTCATCAAATTTTTGTAACCATGTCTGACGACGAAGTTGACACTGAGCTTCTTGAACTCCTGCGCCAGCACCTTCAGGGGAAGGTTGAAATACAAGAGGAGCCCGAAACCGGCGTTCTCGAAAGCGCTGAATATGTCTACGACAGTTGTATCGATGTAGCCGTTGATATGCGTGCCTCAAAAAAGGCTGCTGAGAGCATATACAAGCAAATGCAACAAAAAAGTTATTCAACTGCCACCTGGTCAGAGCACGAACTTCACCCCAAGGCAAAGGACGAAAACACGGTCAACTTCATTTTCACTATGGACTTGCTAAACTTTTCTTTCTGGTCTGAATTACCTGATGATGAGAGATTTGCCATTGAGTACCGTGGAAAGAAGTGGACTGGTTATTGGAGTTTGGTAGCGGCTCTTCAAAGGGCTCTTGCTGAAGGTGAGTAGACTTTGTTCATGGTGACTCACCACTAGTAAGACTAACATTATTCTCTTCACCAAAGACATTCCCATCACGGACCCGTTCTATTGGCAAAACGAACAGGAGTGCACCCTTGAGTCCCTTAGACATGTCTTTAGATCATGCACTGAAGAGGAAATTCCACTGCTTGAGGAACGCCTAGACTGCCTTCGAGAAGCAGGACAAGTTCTTTGTAAAGTAGGTTAATCTTGAAAACTAAACCGGCGATTCTCTAAGAAATGACTGACGTTTTCTAGTACTATGACGGCGCTGTTACAGAGCTGGTTTACGCAGCCGATGGGTCTGCGGCTCGCTTGGTAAACTTACTGGCACAAGACTTTGACTGCTTTCGCGATGAGCATCGCTACGAGGACGGCAAGATGATTCGCTTAATGAAACGAGCTCAGATCCTCGTTGCTGATCTATGGGCATGCTTCAACGGAGAATCCTACGGCGAATTTCGTGACATCGACAAGATCACCATGTTTGCCGATTACCGTATCCCTCAGATCCTCATGACCATGGGAGCCTTGTACTGCTCTCCGGGTATTGCAGCGGCTATCAATGATAAAAAGATGATAGAGAGCGGGTGCGCATGGGAATTGCAAATACGAGGTAAATTGTCCTATCTGTTTTTTTGAGACTATCCGCTGAACCAAAACAGCATGCAGTATCTGGTGTGTCGAGCTGATCCGACGCGAAATTCTGCGTCAACACCCTGACGCTCATGTCAACGCCATCCTTATAGACTTTTTCCTATATGACAGCATGAAGGAACTAGAAGCAGCTGGGAAAGAGCCTATTCCACACCATCGAACAAGGAGTATTTGGTATTAGACAAAGGCCGCAAGGTCTGTTATCTAGATTTCCGGTGTGTTTACAAAGCTTGTTGGAGTTTGTGTTATAGATATCTCTTTTAACAAGCTTTTGTTGGGCTTATAGAACAGAAAAGACAATAGATAAAGCCGCTTCGGTACGAAAACATTCTCCCAAACGCCTTGCTCATTATAACGCATTTCAGTGACAAGATGGCAAGACCGATCAAGTGTCCACGGCAATGGAGTTGAGAATCTCGTCCATATGTGCCGTTTCAATTTGGTCGTTCCCTTTGGTCTCCTCTTTCATGAGAACAGCAAGAACCTCAATGGGAGGGTTAAGACCTAGACGGTCCGCCCGCTTCCAGCGCTGCATGCGAGGCATGCCGATACAGGGCTATGTGTATTAGTTTGGGAGTAGCGGCGAGGGTCGAGACGACTTACACCGTATTGCGAGCTGACGTCGAAATATCGAAGAATCCTCTCATTTTGGGATACGCCTTGCTGATGTAGGCGAGGAGTGGACCATTGGGTCTCAATAGACTTCCAGTACTTCTTAATTTGCGCATCTGTGACCTTCTCTGCTTGCAGCTCCGACTCAGTCTTCACAGGTCCCGGCGCTACCTCAGTCTTTTCCTCATCAGCCTTGATTGGCTCAATCTCTACAACTGCGGGTTCATCGTTGACAACGTCCCCTGCCGCTTGCTTCTTTGCAAGCTGACTGGGGTCGATCTTGGTAACAGAAGATGAAATGATGGACTTCTTGGCGTTTTTCGGCACAGGCTTTGTCACTTTGTTCGAAAAACTGAGTGTTGACTGTCCTTTGGCAGGCAAGCCCCTGCTACGAGCATTGGCAGCGGATCGTCGAGTGGTGGGCATGGTGGATTTAGTTTCCGAAGCGAGATGATACTGTTAAGGCAGGTGGGTGATGTGTAAGTGAAGGATAAATGAAGGTATTGACTGATTAACAGTTAACTCGGCAGGCAGAAGCAAGCAGCAGAAACAATAGGTTGTGAATAAGAAAATAGATGTTGAATGCAGCTGATGATGTTTGATTCAGATTGTATGTACTTAACGGTTAATTAACAGCCATATTACAAGGTCAACGACAAGGTGGGTTCTAGTCAATGTTGAATGGGAAAGTGCATATGACGGAGTGCAAGCCTTAAGATTGGCGGGGCAACGCGACATGTAGCGCGAGATCACGTGTATGGCATCATTTGACAGCTACGACACTTGTGTCTATTCTAGAAACAGTAATTCAGTTGTGAGCTACCTAGGTATGTAGTTCTCGTTTGCTTTCTTGTTTTCTTCCCAGTCCTTAAATTAGTAGGTACCTAGGTAGTTATGTTACCTGGTGAATCCCAACGTAGACAATTGTTTCACAGGCCTGCTTGAATGCCTTGCTGTCACGGTCAATTCGACTTCCATCTATTGGTTTTATGTTTAAGCTCGTCCCTCATGAAACGCATGATGATATGACATCATCATCATCAGCCGCCAGTGGCCTCCCGGTAGAATGAGAGGCTTCTGTTTGCACCAGCCGTGCAAAACATTTCACTTCTGACAGTCTTTGGCAGCCATTTCACAGACCAGAGGGCCTTGTCCGTCTCGCTGTGTGTCGCAACGCAGGTGGTGCGTTCAATTGACCAGACTTTGACCTTTCCATCCATGGATCCACTCAAAAGGTATTCTCCAGTGTCGCTCCAGTCAAGAGACGTGATCCATGAAGAGTGGCCAGTCAGGTTCCCGATATGCTCTCCGTGCTTCATGTCGTAAATTGCGATGATGCCAGCATCTCCTGCTGCAGCAAGTCGGGTGTTGCCTGGAGAAAAGGCAACTGATCGCACAGGCTTCGCAAGACCTTGAGGGTTGTGTTAGCAAAGAAATAATATAGATCAGTCGAAGTCACTCACCAGAGAGCGAGTACAAGACTCGTCCTGTGTCGTTGTTGAAGATGTAGACAGATCCGTTCTGATGCCCGCTGGCAGTAAATTTGCCATCCCGGCTCAAGTCCACAGACATGCCAAAGTTGCCTGATCCAGCACTTCCGGTCTCGTACTCTCGAATCTTGGGTTTCTTTTCGTCAACAATATCCCACACGTTGATTCGTCCGTCATTTGTTGTGGTAGCAAGGTAGGAACCATCTTCACTCAGTGCCAACGCCCAAGCCTCGCCAGGCTTCGATGAAGCCCCTGCGATCTCACCACTAAGACTCCATTCACCAGTGTCATTGTTGACCTTCCAAGTCTTCACTTCGCCTCCAAAACCGGCACTAGCTGCAACGTTGCCGTTCCGCGAAGCGCACACATGGTGGCATCCGAGCTTGTGCGCATCTGAAATGGACTGCTTGAGCGGGAATGAAGGATCAGTGGTGTCGTGAATGTGCAGTGTGGAAGAGCCACTACCTGATATCACAGCTTTGGGTGTGGTCGCAATAGAGAAGATGTCGGTGATGTGGGCTATGCGCTCTCAGTAAGTTGGTGCTTCAAGACAAGGTGCTGCGTCTCATCACCCCGCGGCGGGGAGGTAATGCTCACCATTATCCACGGTATGCGTGGTCAAGTATTGTTTCGACTGTTGAAATTAGTTCCTGTTTTTTTATATTGTGAATCGTCTCTATATGTGCTTACCATAACTCCCACCTCAATTCAAAGAGTGTGTTTTCCTCACTTTTAGTATGACGTTGTGTATGAATGAAAGTGCTTGACTGGGGTGAGTCGAATTCAAAAGCTTGGTGGGGCATCAAAGGGTCATCTAGGCAGAGGTCCAAAACCGTGGGAAAGCAGCAACGCCCATGACATTTTGCTCAATGCCAAGAATAAATAGAACGAGTGTTAGATGGAGGACACATTAAAGGCAGCATTACATTTGAAGAAAATCTGAGGCACGGCATTCTACCGTATCACAATGTCCTTCGAGACGTACACCTTGAAACATTCAACGACATTAATCGGAGAGGAACGTCTGGTATAAACTTTTTTTATTGTTCATAATCCTACAAGGCTCAAACGAGCCAAAACGCCCGTGGTATGCATGATCCCATGGTGACTATACAGACTCTTGTTACAGTAAATCATCAATTCCATTGCCTCTTTTATTCTGGCCTGTTATTGGGGTAATCCTGTCGCCACATTTGCTTCATTTCTATACTCTGTTAGGTCTTATTGTCCATGATAATGGTAGAGACAACCCAACAACGTACCTTCAAGACAATGTTGGCATAACCGATGTGTACGCTTGGGCTGACCACATCCAGGACACTTACACAGGCCGTTTTGGTCCTTGAGCGCCTTGCCCGCCATTTGCCTGTGTCGCTTCCTTGAGTGAGATACTTTGTTCTTGGGTACAGCTCGTAGCACAGATTCCCAGATATCGTCAATGGTGGGAAGGTTTAAAGAGACACCGGGGATCGCAATCGACAATGTCGGAAAGAGCTTCTGGGAGAACTGTCGGAAAGAGACCGCCGAGAGCAGGGGCTTCGAAGAGAGTCGGGGGAGGAGAGCGGCAGCCATCTTGACGAAGAGGTGTAGGTTGTATTGGGATGATGGCGATATATAGAATTTGGTGGTGCAGGCGAAGTCAAATTGAAAGACAATCGCAGGCCGAGAAATTGAATCGAGTCAAAGCGAATTGATCGATTCCCGGCTTTAGGTTCGCAAGCGGCCGTTGTCTGACAAAGACAAATTGATCGGTCGGTCGGATGTTGAACTCGAATTAGAGTCGCGATGATCAAAATGCGCAAGGCTTCAATCGACCGTCAAAAGTCTGATGGCCTGGTCCTTTCCCCAAAGTGCCGGCGGGCCAATCATCAGCTATCCCACGCACTGACCCGTTTCAACCAATGAAGAGCTCCAAACGCGCTTTCCCCCTTTCTTTCGGACCCTGGACTACTCCCTGCTCCCTGACACCTCCCTTCCAGTACGGAAATTGTTTGCTAAGGTGGCAGGAGTAGCAGCCCAGCGCCCGAAAAGTTCCCCCTAGCATCTCGTCGTGTTCAAGCCTCTCCTAAATCTCCAACTTCTCAGCTTCGCTACATCTTCAGGCGTCACTTTGACTTTGTGTGTGCTCGACTTGTCCTTTGTTGCTTCGAGTCCAGTCCTTCTTTCTTTCTTAGAATATCTTTTGACGTTCCCAAGCTTCAACTCTTATCTACCTGCTTAATTTAACAAGTGTCGCCGAATTACTCAAGATGGCCGCCGCTCCTCCCAACACTATTTACCCCGAGAGCCATGTCGGTTTCGACAGCATCACTTCTCAGATTGAGAAGAAGCTCTTGAAGCGTGGCTTCCAGTTCAACGTTATCTGCGTTGGTAAGTACTGAACCTGCACAGCTCCCACATCAATTGAGCCTCACCGTGGTGTGATAATGATCCGGCTGTCTGTGTCTACAATCACGTTTGTGTGCTAATTTATCTTGCGCATTGTAGGCCAGACTGGTATGGGCAAGTCGACGCTCATCAACACCATCTTCGCTTCTCACCTGATCGACTCCAAGGGTCGCTTCCAACCCGACGAGCCCATCCGCCAGACCACCGAGATTCAGGCCGTTTCTCACAACATTGAGGAGAACGGTGTCCGACTTCGACTCAACATTGTTGATACCCCCGGCTACGGTGATCTCGTCAACAACGACCGCTGTTGGGACCCCATCGTCAAGTACATCAAGGATCAGCACTCCGCGTACTTGCGCAAGGAGCTCACTGCACAGCGAGAGCGCTACATCCAGGATACACGTATCCACTGCTGTCTCTTCTTCATCCAGCCATCAGGCCACTCTCTCAAGCCCATCGATATTGTTGTCCTGAAGAAGCTTTCCGACGTCGTCAACGTGGTGCCTGTCATTGCCAAGGCCGACACCCTGACTGTTGAGGAACGCCAGGAGTTCAAGGAGCGCATCAAGGAGGAGTTTGCCTTCCACAACCTCAAGATGTACCCCTACGACAACGACGAGTTTGACGACGAGGAGCGTGCTTTGAACGGCCAGATCAAGGTAGGCCTATAATATCTGACTCGAAACCGATGGCACGAATGCTAATGTATAGTAGAACCTTGTTCCCTTCGCCGTTGTTGGATCCGAGAAGTCGATCATCGTCAACGGTAAGCAGGTCCGCGGTCGCCAGAACAGATGGGGTGTCATCAACGTCGAGGACGAGACTCACTGTGAATTCGTCTACCTACGAGACTTCCTCCTCCGAACCCACCTCCAAGACCTTATCGAGACCACCTCTCAGATCCACTACGAGACCTTCCGTGCCAAGCAACTGCTTGCCCTCAAGGAAAGCAGTGCTCACGGTGGTGCTAGCAGCCGACCCATCAGCCCTGCCGCCGACCGCGAGCTCAGCCGAAACTCGCAACGAATGACGATGAACGGCTACTAAGCTGAATTTGTGTTTGAAGTTGTGCTGGCAATGGAGCGACGGCGTCTCGGGGCAGCTCGATAGCCCGCATTTGTTACGACACTCCACATATTTCACGGCCTGATGTAGAGCAACCCAAAAGTAATTGCTTTCCTCGGAGGTTCCTTGGTGGGCTTGACCACAGTGAACCCCTGAAGGCCTTACATCGTTTCGATGACATCGGCATGCGAGCAAGGACGAGAGCAGCATTCTTGGGGTATGAACCAGATGAGAGATGGGGACTGGTCCGTTGAGATCCAGATACCCGTTTCCTGGTTACGTACCTTGGGGACTGTCTGCTGGTCAGTCCGTATCGAAGCTGTACACGACTTTCTTCTTTTTCTTTCAGTGTTACCCCCGGAGAACTATTTGGCCTTTTTTTATGCTTTAATAAGACCGATTACCCCATACTCTAATCTGGAGTTAGTTTCGTTGCCTACATAGTGTATCAATTCGATTGGAGTTTCTGACGTACTTGATGGGTTGCACATGCGGTTGGGGGAATCCTTCCTCGTATCGTAATCACCGTGATGTTGATTTCAGAATGCGTGTTGAGTTGTAGTAACAGACGTTCCAAGCATGCCTCTGGTTGCATATGAGTGTCCCCAATATCCTATGGCTGATGTAAACCAAACGATGGAGGCACATTTTGAAAAATGAACGCCAGGTGGTATAGGGTAGCTTAAGAACAACATTTGCTGACTTGGCCGGCACACGAGCTTCCAACATGTGATGTATTATTTAATATGAAATATGACTGTGTTCCAGTGATTCCATTTCGTCTTGTTGGAATAAACTGCTTTGAGAGATGGTGGAAGATTGGCTGTTTGTTAGATTCAGCCGTGGCCTTTTAGATGAAAGCACCGATATTCCTACCCTTTTTGAGACTATACCTAGGCTCGGCCGTGAATCATTCGATAAGAATATGACACCGAGTAGTATGCTTTGTATCGTTCTATCGATCGCCGACAGTCGAATTCAGTTGCCTGATTATGGCAACGCCTTATACAATAAGACACAGTGACGTAGCCAATGTTGAATTTATCGCTGACCTAGAACCGTGGAGCAGCGACATTCGACACCGAAGTAGACCACAATAATAAAAACTTGTGAGTTGTGGCCCCTGCCAACATATCCCGACTTCCAAGTTTCAGAGCACTACAGTATAAAGCACTCATTAGAGATATGGGGCAGTTCCCGCATCGTGGGGAGCGATAGCCCGTGCTCATTTAAGAGAGCGTAAAGTATCCAGTATCGAACACAATTATGTACATAGTAGAGAGTACCAAAGCGTGGTATGAGATATTAGGGTAATTTGGTTCACGGCACGGGGATGTTCTGAATCGTTGGGCTTGATCAGGTGCTGCTAGGCTAGTCTTTTGGTACAAGACATCCTTTCGCGAAAATGGTCGCATTTGCTGCATATGTTAAGCCTCAAGAGACGATGTTACACTATTGGCTGTTGGAGCACATCTGCAAAATGCAAGAGAGTACGGAGTACATGGCAGCGGGTAATGATTGCAAGTCTTTGATTCGATTGTCTCAGCTGCAAACAACGAGATCTTTTTGAACCAAGTCCCGGTACATGATAGCTTTAGGATCAAGTCCTGCAAAGAGTAAAGATCGCCTGCCCTTCACCAATGCTTGACACGATGGAATTCTGGTGTTGATGCCAAGAAATGCGTGCTTTACAGAAACTGTCTGTAATTTCAAACTTCTGGAAACTCGAGATTGCGGTGGATGAGAGTTGCAAGGATCTCTCTGTACGAAACGTGGTGGGACCTTGTAATGGACTCTTTAACCAGGCAGTCATTTTGTCATTCGTCAACAGTGAATGGTCAACAGAGCTAAGATCTGAACAAGGCGTTTAAGTGGCTTGGGCGAATAAAGATTCGCCAATTGAATTTCTTTCTTTTTGTAGAATATCCAAGTTTGGGTTTCTGATACAGCGCCTGTTCTTTTCTCAGCCACTTCACAAGTGTCAAACGTTTTCTATCCACTCATTCCCGTAGATTCGTTTTGGAGACCCCGTCCTCATCGTCTAAATGACCGATTCTAAGCTGCAAACGGTAAAGCGACTTTCTTACTGCCAAGTACTTTCTCTTCAAAAGCGTCGCTAATATCTGACCCTGGCAACCGACTCTCAAAGACCCATGACAACCAGGGTACTGTAATAAGCGTAATTCTGTACATTTTGCTAGTTTGGGCAAGAGCAACGATCGAAGAGAGAGGTAGATAGATAGAGAGAGAGAAGCAGAGTTTGCAGTCAATACTATGTCTACCCATCTATTATTTGGTATGGACTATCTGTTTACATCTATCAGATAAATACAAACCTCGTATAACACATGCTCCCACACCTCTTGGCTCAAAGCTTGGCTTCTGCCGGAACTTGATTTATACATGCTAAAACCGAAATGCCATGGCCGGATGTCCGATAGTGGTGTAATAGACTGAAGCGGTCCAGAGCCGGGCCTGGGTCTAGGCTCACCTCATCTATCGTCCCTATCTCATAGATGGTTGTCTTGTGTTGATGAAGTCCCCTTTCTATCCTGGCTTGGCCTCTCGGCACTCTTTCTTAATTGAGCTGCCCTGCTATTACTGCCTGCCACTGCACCTGCCCATCTCTGTTTGGTTTGTTATTTGCTGTTCGCTGGTGGCACTCGACGGACCTTCCTTCACTTCCTCCACTGAGTGGGCGGCGCAATTCGATCGATCCATCACTGCACAGGCGCTGCCAGACAGTTATTCATTCACCTTCCCGCTTCTATTTCCACTTTCACTTCCACTTCCACTCCTACTCCTACTCTTCTTCCTCCACCTTTGCTCCTTCTTCCAACTCCATTCTTTCTTTCTTTCTTCGTTAATTCATTCGTCATTGACCAAACTGTGGTCCCCTCGCTTGTTATCGCTCTTTTCAAGTGTATCTGGGCTCACTCGGCGCAAATACTACACCTTGCTCACCTTTGGCCTTTGCTCTCTTCTTCCCAACAACATCGTCAACAACAGCAGCAAAACGCACTCTCTGTTGTAAACCGACTCGATCTTGTCTGGCCTTCTGAAACGTCAAGCAACCACACAACATACATTGTCTCGATTTTTTGGGAGAAAGTATCACAGTAAAATATTTAGTATCACATTATCGCCATGCTTGTATGTAGTCCCTGCCCGCGTCACAAGTACATGTGCATGGTGCATTACTTCTTGTTACACCACAGACTCATTGACATACGCTTTAGATCAACGCCGCTCTCATGGCCCTTGGAGCCGCGGTTGTGGGCGCCGTTCCTCCTCTGGAGATCCAGGGAACTGACTTCGTCAACCCCGAAACTGGCAACAAATTCCAGATTGTTGGTATGGCCTACCAACCTGGAGGCAGTGCCGGCTACGACCCTGCCACGGGGAAGGACCCTTTGAGCAACAAGGATAAGTGCATGCGAGATGCTGCTCTCATGCAGATTCTTGGTATCAACGCCATCCGTGTCTACAACCTTGACCCCAATGTCAACCACGATGAGTGCGCCAGTATCTTTAATGCTGTAAGTAATTCCCTTGGTGTACTGCAATACTCTGCTAACTCGTCACTTTCAGGCTGGCATGTATATGATGATTGACGTCAACTCTCCTTTGCCTCATGAGTCCCTGCACTCTTTGGCACCCTGGGAGAGTTATCATGCTGACTACCTCAACCGTACTTTTGCCATTGTTGAAGCTTTCGGAAACTACCCCAACACTCTGCTTTTCTTCGCGGCAAACGAGGTCATTAACGACGAGAAGACAGCTGAAGATGCTCCTCAGTACATCCGTGCTCTGACCCGCGACCTCAAGAACTACGTCAAGAACAACTTGAAGCGGAAGATTCCTATTGGGTATTCTGCCGCCGATGTCCGTGATGTTCTGTGGGACACCTGGAACTATTTGCAGTGCTCCGATCCTGATGATGAAGATGACATGAGCCGAGCTGATCTTTTCGCCCTCAACTCGTACTCATGGTGTGGTCCTGAAGCCACTTATGAAACTTCCTCATACGACGACCTCGTCGCCGGTTTTGAATCATCGTCTGTCCCTATCTTCTTCAGTGAATATGGTTGCATCGAGCCCTCGCCTCGCTACTGGAACGAAACCCAAGCCATCTATGGCAAGCAGATGAGCTCGGTCTTTTCTGGTGGCGTCGTATACGAATATACTGAGGAGGAAAACAACTATGGTCTTGTCAAGATTGACGATGACAAGGTTCGCATCCTGGGCGACTTCAACCGTCTCAAGAACCAGTTTGCTAGAATCAAATGGGAGTCGGTGCAGTCAAACCCCGCAGGCAAAAACTCCTCTACCAAGGCTCCAGAGTGCAAGTCCAGCCTCATCAAGGACAGCAATTTCGACAGCAACTTCACCATTCCTGACGTTCCTCCCAAGGCACAGGACCTGATTGATAATGGTATTAAGAACAAGCCTGGCGGAAAGATTGTCGACATCTCAGACTGGAATGTCAAGCTCGATGTTATGAACGCTGATGGCAGTGTCATGAAGAACCTCAAGGTGGTCCCGCTCAAGGACGATGAGTCTAATGCGTCTGGTAACAACGATGCGGACACTGGCAGCGAGACTACCGATGATAAGAACAGTACCGACTCCGACAACAAGACTTCTTCAGGTAACAGTGGAGACGCCCAGGATAGTGATGATGATGAGGACGCTGCTGGCCTCACTCGACCTTTAGCTTGGGCAATGGCCTTTCCTCTGGCTGTCATGATGTTTGCGCTATGAGTAACCTGTCTGGAACAGGTGGACGCATATCAGAAATAGACGACGTGCAGGATTAATGCTTGGCAGGTAACGTTACGATAGGTTTTGATTTCTTAAAGATGCAAAGAGTACACGATACCACACACCCGCATCATTTGGTGTTTGGGCAACTACTTCTGAGGCTCGTGTTTTTCGAGCCTGCTCATTGGGAGATCCTTTAGACTTCTCAGGGATATGAGCTTTATTCTACGAATACACTGTTTATTATTGGTTAATGGACTTTCAAATGATAACTCAATGGAGATTGATACCATCGCAAGTGAAATGATGTTTAATTTTTATGATGAGACTGCGATCGGTATTGATATCGAGTTGACCAAAGGCATAGACCACTCATTATTGCTTATTTGTCGATCTTCTTGGGGCAAGTCTTCGATGTCTGGATAGACTTGTCAGTTTTAATTTCGACAGCCTCCTTGTTTTCACCCGACTCCTGAGCTTGCTGTTCAGATACTTGGTTCAGTCCTCCCAACCTGTTCTCGGACGATGTAGGTTTGCCTTCACCAGTAGTAGATGACGGCTCTCCATACCTGTCTTTTCCGGGGTAGTATTGGCCTAGACTCCAGCCAGTGTAGATCGTACGGTCGTGATCCTGTTTGAAAGAGCGCCGGCAGTAGCAGGGGCCACATCCATCATGGGTGCCAAAGTCGCCAGCACGACAACATTCGATACAGCAGCCAGAATTGTAGTTGTCACCATCGTCACCGTAATGTGTGTCTGGTGGCATCTTGTGATATCAGATACGAACCCTCGGATTCGAGAGTTGAACGCGGTGTCAGATACCCACACCGAAAGATTTGATATAGGTCTACGGGACAAAGTTGCGAGTGTCGAGAGTTTTGAACAGAGCCAGATTAATCTTGTGTTGGAGGGAGAATCCGGGAGGCTTCTCAGATGGATGTGATAATCAAGGTGATTCAGATTTTCAGACGATGATGTGCGAAGAGCAGGTCAAAGACCGTACTGATGCAAGCCCAAGGGTAGTGTGTACGTTCCATAGACGCAATGAACACCCGAAGAGATATGCAAGAGGGGGTCTCTACTTGAGAAAAAGGAGGTGATTGCGAGTGTGATTCAACGCAGGGCCAGGCTCGTATTATGAGCTCGAGGTACAGCCGTGTTTGTTTGAAGGTTGATGGAGAGAATAGTCCCGCGTTTGCAAGCCTCATGCCTATTCGTACTTACGGACCAATGTGTTTGGCGAGGAGTGAATCACTTGGCCAAGGTACCACGTCATGTCCTTGCATTGTTGTGCATCCCCTAGACCCTATGGTATCTGATTTGCGTCAATGACAATACTTCGGCAGTTTCTTTGCATGGAGTTTGACACGCCATCAGCCTCCGTTTGCTGTCCCCGGATTCCGGGCCTATTGGATGGCGAAAGCAGAGTCATCCGAGACGGGTTCTTGCTGCGTTTGCTCGGACGATTTGTTTGTGCATATTGAACAAGATATGCAAGGTCGGAGATCGCAAGAAGGCCTGAGCGTTCGACAACTCCCTATGGACAAGGTAACACGAAGCAAGCAGGTTTAGTTCAAACGGGAAGGAGAGTGTTAAAAGCAGAGTGGAATTGCTGTCATTGGTGTTGAATGCCCGAGACTGACGCTACAGAGGGTATATTTCCAAAAAGAAATCGGATTGCAGGGTTGTGTAATCCAAGACTCGATAGATCCGTCGTCCTGAAATGCTATGGTTACTCTGGCGTTGACTATCTAGACGATGTTGTATGCTGTGAACCATGATGCCTCGGCTTGGATACAGCGTTGAGGGGTGTATATCGTGAGAAAAAACAAACTTGGGATACGTTTATAGGCAGCATAGATATTGGCTAGACAGTAACAATGTTGACATCACACAAGACTCCTGTTTAGAACAACCACCGAAACAACTCATCAAATCCATAAGTGTCATCAGATCTATTAGCTTTCTTTCCGTCATAGCTCAAATACTGCCATACACGGCTTGTTCGACCATCATTAGTCCCAAGCCTTAGAAATTGCAACGCACCACATGGTACCCGTTTGTCTATCTTGCAGTACAAAATTTCGTTCAGTACAGGTATCTCGTTTTATACCTGCGTCATCTCTTTATACTATACCATCTCCGTGGTAAAGTTTTTATCTTATCCCCTTTAACCCTGGAACTCCTGCGCCTTGCTCTCCTCCCACTTACCGGGAACGAGAGCCAAGGGCACAATACCAGAGACGTGCATCTCAGGGCCAAAGATCTTGGCATCGAGGCCGAGCTCCTGGGTAGCGGCCTTCATGTTCTTGAGACCCTCCTGGTAGTTGGGACCGGCACGTCGCACCCAGATGGCGGTCTTGTGCTCGACCAGCTTGGGAGCGAAGTCGCGCAGCGCTCGGATGACACCCTTGAAAGTGCTGGCGACGTTGGTGAAGTTGGCGATACCACCACCAATGAAGAGAACCTTACCCTCCTCGGTCTTAGGAGCGCGGAGGAGAAGGTCGAGCACGGTTCGGGCGTAGTGGTAAGTCTGAGACTCGGTGGGAGCACCGGAGTACTCGCCGTAGTTGGCAAGCTCGTCGGCGAAACCAGCAGAGGCAATGGCATCGGCGTAGACAACGGAAGCACCACCACCAGCAACCAGTGTCCAGATGCGGCCCTTGGCGTTAAGGACAGTAAGCTTCAGGGAAGCACCAGTCTTAGCATCAAGGTCAGCGATGTAAGCCTCCTCCTTGGTCAGTTCACGACCGAAGGGAGCAGGAAACTCCATAGGGGGACCAGCATCGATGCTGATCTTGCCATCAGCAGAAGGAGCAATGTTGGTGAGGCCAAGAGCAGCAGGGGATCGAGCAATAGCCCACTTGACACCGCACTCGAAATCGGCAGTCTGGTCGAGCTTGGCAGCAAGATCAAGGAAGTGGACTTCGGCAGAAGTCTTGTCCTCGTTGGGGATGACAACGAGAGGGTTGATCTCGAGGTAAGTGAACTGGCAGTCGACGTAGACGGCGTATAGGCGGGTGATGAAGTCAACGAGGACGTTGTGGACACCCTGGGGAACCTTCTTGAGGAGAGTGGCAGCAATCTCCTCGTTGGAGGGGTACTCAGCAAGGTCGACGGGGATCAAGAGCTTCTCAGCCTTGGCGTCGACATCACCGACATCAACACCACCCTCGTGGGTGAAGAGGATCCAGTCGCCCTATAAGATAGAAGCGTTAGTAAGTCAATCTTATCGTTTCGGTAGTTGGGATGGTGTATGTAGATTGGCGTCGGAAGGGACCGAGAAGACCAGGGGGGCTGATTCCGAGGAGTCCTTTTATCGTGGCATCCGTTCGCCCGTTTCGGTACAATGAATGATTGCCGACGTAGGTGCGAACGAGCCCACAATTCAACTCTTGTAGCCGACCAAGAAGTACAAGTTGCTACAAGCCCCTTCGTTCTCAGAAGGATCTCACAGCTGCCTTGTTCTTCTCGGGGGACTTTACCTCGAGAGCCTCTGGAAGCTGCCGGTCCATGGCAATCCATATACACGAGGGAAACATGTCTGCAACTTACATCACGGACTGAGTTGATGTTGATATAGTACTCAGTGTCTTGGGGATGGGGCACGAAAGGCTCGACGAGGAATTGCCTCAAAACACCAGTGGTATGCTCAACCTGCTGCTCCTTACCGGCTCGCTCAGCAACCCAAGCCTTAGCCTCAGGCCAGGACTTGTTCAGGGCCAGAAGACCGCTCTTTCCTCGTCGCTTGATGAGCTGATCGGGCTTAGCGACGAACTTGGCGTCGGGCTGGAGAAGCCAAGGGTAGGTGACCTCAGCCTGGTTCAGGATATCGGCAACGTTGGCATCTTCAGGGAAGTGCAGCGAGGCGAGTCTGCTTGGGGGGTTGTGAGTGGTAGGCGCAGGAAGAGGGCTGGCCTTGATAACGGGGGCGCGGGTGAGATGGTAGTTGAGGATGGCCTTGCCGTCGGCCTCGAGAATCGACTTGGCAGACATTTCGAATTATGAAGATTTGATGAGGAACGGAGAAAGGGTAAGATGGAATGAGCTGGCGAGTGTCGGCGTATTCCTTTTTTGAATCAATTCTGATCGAAGAGAGCTGGTTAGTGGCTGGTTGGAGGTGTTTATTCAAAGATGACCAGTGTCTTCTCCCAAGCGTGCAACTGAGTTGCGAGTCGAAACCGCAATTGGATTTAGCTGAACAAAGTTGTGGCCTATATGAGCACAAATTCCCAGGCTCAAGTGAAGCAATTGCGATTTGCGACTGATTGCGGCTCGAAGTCGAGAGTTGACGAATGGTCGGCGGGGAAAAGGGAGAAAGACTCACCACTGCACACAAGCTCAAGTGGGCTGCGACAATGAAGTTGGAATTGAGGATCGGGAGGGAGAGGAAGAGATTATGACAGAGATGGGGCAAAAGGGAAGAGGAAGAGAAAGTTGATGATTGCTCAAGACTATGAGAGAGGTGAGAATGGAGGAGCAAAAAGAAGCGGGAGTTGGAACCAGACAGGAGTGAATAGCTCTTGCTGGCCGAAAAAACCACTGGACCTGAAGGAAGCTCAAGGGGAAGACAGGCGGGTGGGGTCTCAATGGATGGAGGGGTCGGAATGGAAGGAGGGGAGGGGTGACTTGGCGTGGTCTGGCCTGGAGTCCCCTAGCCTGGGGCGAGCGGCGGGCGGGCGGTCAGGGTGCGGTACCTGGAGCGACAGGGCCGATCAGCGCGTGGCTGAGGTACCTGGGCCCTGAAAACAAAATTCATTGGGGACGGGAGGAAGGGTTCATCCAAAAAAAAGCGATGAGAGCTGGTCATGTACCGGTACATGCTTCATGTCACTCCAAGCTGTTGAGGACCTGAGTGGACCAGGGGGAGGCGAGTCGACGACACGACAACTAACCTTGCCTTGTATCCATTGAGTTACGTACGACAGGCCGATTCAACAGACGTCAATCGAAACAATCACCGCCGAAAACCGCAGACAACGATTTATACGCTACCACTCCAAACGCAACCCAAACCCAATTCTATTCAATCTCCCGAGATTCGATAGCTTCTATCAGTTTCTCGGCCAATTTCGTTTTTGAGTTGTTATTGTGTGCTTGCTTCCTTTTTTGGGGTAAACTACGATATCAACATGATCCCTGGTTCAGGTTGGGGACTTACATCCAATCCATCTAATGAGGTTGGCGATGATTGACTCGGGTTCCGGGGAAGAGCGAAGGGTTGACCTTGCGGTGAGTCCCCATGAGGTAGGTCGGGTGCCTCAATACCTACTCACTCGGACAGGCCAAGGTGAAGTGCGTGCAGAACAGTGCAATTGACATTGACATTGAAGACGCCACCCCCGACTTGGCTTGGGCTTGGCCTGCCCCTCCATCCCCCTCCAACCAGGCTGGATGGACTCCACTTACCTCACCTCACCTCATCTCATCTCACTGGAGCTTTCTTATCCCAATCCATTCCACGCTGTTCACTTCGAACCAGCCCACAACTCCCCGGTTGGCTACGGGATCAAGTGTCCATGTTGCTGCGTCTGTGTCCGATTTTCGGTGGAGAAAGTTTTAATTTTCAAAAAGCATACAGTACAGCACTCCAGTCAAGGCCTACCCAGTTCAGGCCTACCAGGCGGTCCAAGCTATCAAGTCGTGTGCTCAGGTCTGTCTGTATATGGCAATAAGCTACCCGTTTGGAACTGCAGAACACCGGTGGAACATCAACCGGAAGACCAGGAAGAAAGTGGCCTCATACTTACAGATTGTCCCAATGCA